TCAATGTTCTGTGCGTTATGCATCCTTTGATAGAGCAGTTCAGATTGTTCAACATGAGGGTCGCAGTGCCTTTATAGCCAAATCTGAGGTTAAATCAGCCTTCCTTCTCCTCCCGGTTTGTCCTTCGGATTATGGATTGCTGGTTTTTCATTTAAAGGGGACATTTATTACGACAAGCGCATGCCCGTGGGCTGCTCCATCTCTTGCTCTTTGTTTGAAAAAAAAATAGCTCGTTCTTGGAGTTCTACAAGGGGCACACACGTTCAAACTTGATTACTCATTATCTAGACGATTTTTGTTTGCGGCTCCTGATCAGTCGTCTTGTTCTCAATTGCTCTCCACGTTTCAAACGTGTTGTGCTGAAGCCGGTGTTTCACTTGCGGATGAAAAAGCGAGGGGGACGCAACTTCTCACGTATTTGGGTACCTCAAAAGCAACTGACCATTTGTCGACAAAGGTGATCCAAATGTGTTCGCGCCATGTTTTTTCCAACTTTGGGATCGGTCCTACCGATACGTGCTTTTGGCAACCGTAAACATCTTACTGGTACTTTAAAAATGAATTAGATATGTTCTTGTTTAACAGCCTAAAAACATCGAATTTCTTTAAAAACCGAACCCTGTCCTCAAATGGCATCCAGCTAGCGTAACGTTGAGGAATTCAATCCTTACAGATCGTCTTTTCGATATCGCTAAAGGGTACAACCCTGAAAATTTAGCATCAGCGTGTGGTTAAGCAAAGAACATTGATATGATTAAAAATATTTTGGAACATTTCTGGAAGTCACGGTCCTGATGCATAGTTATGCAATCTAGAACCTAGAGGACGAAAAACATAGGGTGAAAAACCATGTAAATTGTATGACAGTAGAATAACCTTATTATGCAAAAAAATGTTTTCAGGTGCTGCACGATGAATATTGTGAGAAATGTCTATATCTCTTTGTTACTGCAACCCCAGTCTCACTTTGTTTCAGCATTACAAATTAGAGATTCACTGTTCATCTGGCAGAGTTAGCAACAAATCACTTTTTAAAAAATCTAAGCCAAGTAAAACATCATTGGGTCCAGTGATCACAGATCATGTGAAATCAATCCATGAGTTAATTTGGTCTAAAAAGCCAAAAAAAATCACTATACCAAGTCGCACGATGTGTGATTTCAGGCCAGTCAAGTCAAGTGAAGTCAAGTCAAGTCAAGTGATTTAGACATGGCCTTTGGCAGAAAAGACTGAAGTAGAAATTGCAAGCCGTTCGAAGTATTATTACAGTGAAAGTTGACAGACTTAATTTAAACCTAAATTGGATTCGAACGAGTAGTTTTCTGCTTTGTGTGGATAATAAGTCAAAAAGTTCAAGTCCAAGTCGAATCACAAGTCAAAACCTGATAGTTACAAGTCAAGTCAAGAGTCACAAAATAGCGAATCATATCGGACTCGAGTCCAGTCAAGTCTGCAGCTCTGTCGTTTGGCAGTATACGAGCACACACACATTGCTCATGGAAATGCAATCTATTGTTTAAAGTATCGACGAAACACGAGTCTCACCGTTCTGATAAAAATGCAGGACTTGTGGGCAATAAAATCAGTGGTAAATGTGATGAAGTTGACTTCATTAACATAATACATAAGAGAGTATAGCTAGCCATTTCCAGTAGTCATTAGCCTGTCATGGCCGGTCTTAAACGAGGGATAAAGCTCCGACTTGCGGTGGCACGAGATGGACAAGTGGTCGTAAAAAATGGACCTACAGGGTGTCCACATAAAAAATATACCGAGATACAAATTACTGTAATAGCAAAACTACTTTATATGTGGGAAATAGAAATATATCTCTAGAAAGGGCAGAATTCCCTCTTTGCAATTGTATACAGCTTGTGATGCTATTGGTACAGATGAGTGGACAAACTAGACCGATGCTAAGGGTATATTGAAATCAGCAGTGACAAGTTTGCATATGTGAATAACAAGGTTAGACCATGCTAGTGTACAGAATACCAAATGCCTTTGCTTTAAGAACGCATTCTTGAAAACAAGGAATGTACCTAAATCAATGTTATCTGCTTTGTTTTCGCTACTTACCTCATCAGTTTAATGTGCTAATTCCTCCACATGGCTACCATTTCTGCTAATGCACATCTGACATCCTCGTAACACGTCCCTTACTGCTCGTCTGATCATTTCATGGTTTTGACGGAGATTATTGACTTCTTCCACTATTCTTGCACGTTAACTCCTGAACATTAGCAGAGGGTGTAGTGAAAATTTGGTTCTGCAGGTAACACCATAAAAAGAAGACGCCTTCTCCCCACATGCTGACTTTTGTTATCAATATGCATCTTCTCACAGTTCTTAACGCAAAGGCATATGGTACTCTAAACACTTGCATGGTCTAGCCTCGTAAATATGCACTGTGACAATTTTGCGTATTAGAGGGCTTCAGTTCCCTAAAACAGCAGCCAGTTGCAGCCAAGGTACAATCAAATGTACCAAGCGACAAGCTTTTTTTGCTTAGCATCGGTTCCGATTAGTTATAGTGCTGGGTATGTCAACCGCACCCCGTCATACCTGTTTTCCATACAAAGTGTGGACATTCCTTTGTTCTCCGGTGGTTAAGGAAACTTGAGGAAAATGCTCCTTTTTCTCCACTAGGATAACTCCTTCGAGCTGGATCTTTGATGATGATTTCCTGGACTGCCACGGATAACCTTGACCCCAAAATACCCCAGAAACTGTTTTTTCAGGGAGAGGGAAACATGTGTGGACGTGTGCGAGTCCACACAACACCATCATACCCTACATAACGAGGATTTCTTTTGTGCAAAAGTCTACACTACGTATGCCACGCCTGCACACAGCACACTAACATTCATACGTGTACACCCAGTCTAGCTCGTGTGTATGAGTGTTTTAAATATTTACATGGCAGGATTACGACGGTAGCTTGATTTTGTTGACGCCATCAGACAATTCCTACATTGGCCTGGCTAAGCGCGATCTTCGATAGCTAGTCAACCATTGGTTGATTTTACCTTGTACCCATAGTACATTTTGTGCGCTGATTACCAAGTAAAATCGACCTGTTTATGTGTCGATAATAGTCGATGATAAAACTTGGCCCTGTATCTAAATACTAGGCGTCACACTATGAACTGCACATGAGCGATTTCGAGGGTAATTTGCATGCGTAAAAAGGGTATGAGAATTTGCGCTACGCAACAGTTATTTCATTTTAAATTAAGCAATATACGTTCACAAGAAGTGCATGGAGTATATGTGAACCTTTGGCGGATATCAGGGGTGTGGTTGGGGAGATGTGCCACTCAACTTTTTTTACATCGGGGATTACCAATACCACGCCCCCATTAAGTATCTTACTGTGCACATCCTTTCCTTAAGCGAGTAAACACTAATGCTTAGCGTTGCGTTTCCGTCAAAGTCGCTCATGGGGTGAACGCAACGCACAAGTGTGTCATGTTAAACATCGTGACTACGCAGTAGAAGATTACTGGTAATTCTTTTCAGAAGTACCTTAAACCACGGCCATCCAGTAGAAGAGTCACTGTGACTTGTCCCAAACAATGAATATTCCAAATTGCAGACTCGTGGCAGTTTTATAACGATTCCATGCATGCTGCCGAACCGTATATTAAATTAAGTGTGGCCGAACGAATGTAAAATGTGACGTACTTGGCCATTTAGAACTCGTGTAAAAATTTCAATTGTTGCCTTGGTAAACATGCTGCGTCATATTGACAGCAACTCTCTACGTCCAGTTTGTAAGAATTGCAGCCTACCAGTTTTTAATTTGTCTCTAATGTCGTGCAAGTTGATGCTATGAAGGAGTTTCTGGTGAGGTACACCGCCGGAAAATCCTGCACGGCTGCATTGGTAGTGAAACCATTGTTACGATGGAGGCACGGTAATTGGAGGTCAGTAAAGCACGAGTCTTTCATGAACGCCTTCTACGTTAGGCATGCTGATTTTTGATTAGAATTTGATGCTGGTCCAGACGCTTCACCAACGCTTCACCTTTCACTATGCTCATGTGGATTGCAACACATTGACGCCAGGTACACTGATCTGCAATTTACTGGATTATAGTGGCTTTGGTCCAATATGCCGGCAGCTGCGCACTAAGATTGTTTGAAAACATGCGCAGGAGTTAGAGGCAATTCCACCTGGAGTGTTCTGTTTATTATCTTGTCCGATCGAGCTCCTTTGGAGACATGCATTGAATTTTAGAAAACCTCCCACAAACGTTTATACCGGGCAAATATGGAGGCAGCGACGCCTCCTGTCTGGTAAAGATGCTAATGAATTGATTTGTTAAAGCCTTGGCTTTCTCCTTGTCCCTGAGGACCGGTACTGGGTAATTTGGCAAATATGGGAGCAGCAACGACTCCTCTCTGGTAAAGATGCTAATGAATTGATTTGTCAATGCCTTGACGTTCTCCTTGACCCTGAGGACCGGTGCTGGACACCGGAATTATTTCTACCCAGAACATCAACTGCCAGAACTTCTTCGGGTTGTCAGAAGATGCCACAGCATCCACATGAACACGATGGAGTCCAGTCTATCTGCCTATAGCTTGAAACCAATCACACTGATTGCAAGATTAGCGCAAACAAAAAGAACCTTTCTCCCTGGTGAGCGGCAAAATATGAGTTTACAACCATCATGGCCTGATTTTCCTTGCAGTACTTTAACAAAGTTGTTCAATCCATTCCTGAATGAAGTCCAGTTTAATTCAACAGTTATGTTGGTCTTTTCCTCTAAAAGGAGTATTCATTTAACACCGTTGGCTGCATCTGCACCATAATCCACTTTATCCAATCTCTTCTACTTCAAGAAACTGTGCAGCGGTTTCGAAGTGTGAACAGCTTTGATGGGAATCTCAGCTAGAGGACTATTTACCATATCAAACAAGTGCCCCCAGTTTGTGAAAGAAATACACTCGTGGAAGAAGTGCGTAAATGAGTGTGACACGAACTTTTAGGAATTGGTTTTGCCCCAAACCGACATTTATTCATTACACTGTGTACTTGGTGTAATCCCAGAGGTGAAAAAATGGAATTAAAATGGTGTTCGTTAAATTGCAGAGTACGGTAAAAGCAACCAAGTCGAAATGTTCACTTGTTTTTTCTTGAAACACGCCTAAACCAGCTCCTCAAACGATAGAATGTTTACTTTTCTCTCATTCTCTAACCTATAAATCACATACTTATTTTTAGTCCAACTCAATCTTCAAGCCCAAAAGCCTTCTCCGTCTCTTACACCTATCTAGCTGCACGCACAATGATGGCCACCGTCAACATGATTTAGCTGTGGCAGCAGGAGACATTGCAATGGAAAATTCTGCTGCGTCCCTTCTGGCTCCTGGTCTCCAGACCGACCACCTTTTTAAAACTCGAGACTGCGCTCCGGGGGCTTGGGTTCTTAGCAAAGCGACGCGGTACAGCCGCGAGTTTTAGAGACTGGGGTGGGCCCCAAAGCAACGTCTCCAGTTTTGGAGAGAAAGAATGAGTTTTTAGGGTCGCGGAATTCAATATGACAGAGAACCGGCTATTTCCTACTACTTCTTTAGCTTATATAATGACTATGTTTACACAATTGCAATTGTCTTATTTTATACAAGAGTTACAAAAGAATAAAACAAAATACAATTTTAAAAGAACACTTATTAAATAATCCGCAATCCGCAGTCCGCAACCTATTACCTGTTTCCGCACGTGTACAAACTTTACTGTCCCATAATTAAATATTCCCTAATCTGATCTGAACGAAACTTTGCATGTTTTCAATTTAGACCCTAATCGATCATCTCTCAAAATTTGGACGATAAAATTCGACCTCCTTCTGGTAGATGGGGCATTATAGGGAGACGTCTCCCTAATGACCGATGTCTCTCTAAGGCCAGAAAATTTACCACAAAATCTCTCCCTAATGACCCATTTATAAGAATTAAAATTGGTTAACATACTCATTAAAAAGGAGGGTTTTCAGACGCCTTTTAAAACCATCATACGATTGAAACTGATACACTGAAACCGGCAGGTTATTCCATAATCGAGGTGCGCAAAATGAAGAAGCCTGATCGCTATAGAAACTGGCAACTCTCTCCACTGGTTGGTAGAGCTGAGTTTTGCCGGCTGACATTGAGCGTGACTCTCGATTAGTTACTCTAATGTTAAGGACATCTTTAAGGTACACTAGAGCTTTACTATTCAAAATTTAAAAACCAAGCACAAAAGTGTAAATTTACACCTCTGCTTTATTGGCAACCAATGTAAAGCTCGCAAAACAGATGTAATATGATCATTCTTTTTTGAGTTATATGTTGTCACTTTGCGCCCATCATGGCGGTCGTTTTCAATGGTACAGGCAGGCTGATACATCGACGTCTTCTGGGTCGTTGGCAGCTTTCTCCGCGTGTTTGTCAGCAGCAATCTGGATGAGTTCGGCTGTCTCAGCCTTGCCCGTCTCCTGGACCATCCTGGTGAAGGCACCGTCCTCCTTCTGGAGAAGAATGTAAGGCTCTTCAAACTCGATCAGTCGCCCTGCGTCAAGTACCTGCAAAGGGACAAGGTTCAGAGATGAACCATTTTGTTTATTTCAAAAAGACCAAGTCATTCAAAAACAAAGCACGTGAGTTGTATCTCCACCCTGACAGGGCAGACTTTCCAGATCGGATAGGACTACTCAATACGAAATTTCAGCCAAGCTAACTGTCACTCTCTACTTACGGCTCTGGTCGTCAATTCAGTCACTTGGTTATTTAAACACAATGTAGGGTTTTTTTGGCAAAGATGTGGACTCAAAATCGTGTATCTATGGGAAGTGTCTAAGAATGTTCCTAACGAGGATTACATTTACAACACAAGAAACCTCTTACCATGACCTTGTCAGAGTCCATGATGGTGTTGAGGCGATGAGCTATGGTCAGGACCGTGCAGTGTTTGAACCTCTGTCGGATAGTAGCCTGGATCAACCTGTCAGTTCTGTATTTGAGCATGCAAAAAAGAGGAAATAAGAGTCTAGGTATCTAGATTAAACATTACCAAAGGATTATATTGAGAATAAATCGACTGTTGCAGAAAACAAAATGTTGGCAGTTTCTTTCTTGAGGACTGGATAACTCCACGCATGACATGGACTGTATAACGACAATAGCAATGAACCAGTTCGATATTTTGAAACGGTAAGGTCATTCGAGAACAAAGGACACGACATTACTCCTGTCGGATACTACTCTACCTCACTACCTCACTCATGCGTATGTTCCTTCATGACCTATACGATACGCTTCACCTCAAGCTTTGCCACAGCATAAGAAACAAACACCCTGACCTGACGTCCACGTTGGCCGTGGCTTCGTCCACTATCAGGATCTTGTTTTGACGTAGGATGGCCCTGGCCAGGCACAGCAGCTGTCTCTGACCCACGCTTAAGTTGGTGCCTCCCTCTGTCAGGACTGCCTCTAGCTTGTCAGGAAGCTCTTCCACTGCTGGCTTCAACTCCACCTATTTGTGATTGTTGTGATATATCAGGAAATGGGCTGTTTGGATTGATTTGGCATTACCTTCAAGTGAAAGTGTATACAGGCATTGTTGAGTGGGGGCAGGTGAACACCGAGTGAGAGTTGTTGATCAGGACATTCAAGTTTTTTGATGATTAAGATTCGGAGAGTTTCCTTGTTTCCAATCACCACTCATAAATGATGCTCGGGGGAAAATTAATTTGACAATTATGCCAAGTATCTGGTGGTGCTAGTAACAGTACGCATGCACAGACACAATACCTGCGCAAGTTCGCACTCTTGGTACAACTTTTGGATCGTACTCAAAGGCAAATTCTCCATGATAAAATGCAATCATATTGACCAGGAGCTAACATTATCAAATTCATTAAACTTTACGCACCTCTTCAATAGCTCTCCATAAATCCCAATCAGCGTGCTCACCAAATGGATCGAGGTTTTTCCTTAGTGTTCCACTGAACAGAAGTGGGTCCTAGAGATATGAATAATTAACAGGTGAAAGGCTTTCAAACGTTTTCATAGAGTGAAAGGATATTATGTACACGGATGATCTCATTTCTCTCCGGAAGGTTCAATACTGCGCATCACAATAGTTTGTCGAAAAAACTAGGAAAAGTTAATCCACTCCTCTCTTGTGCTAACAAGTTAATACTGAAAGAAACTACCGCACAATGATATTTACAAATGGGAATAACCACCAACGTAGAGCTGGATAGTTCAGTTTGTAGAGCACTGGTACGGTATTCCAGAGGTCGCAGGTTCAAATCCAACTCCTGTCAATTTCTTTGTTCATATTTACAGGGTGTCTCAGAAAAAAACTAAACCCTGAGGAAAGGGGTTAATATGCCCAAATCATGAAATATGATTATGATGTATAAGGATCTCCGAAAAGTAGAAGCAGTATTCTTTCTAATGATACCTTGATGGTATCCCTCCTGTCATGCATGACTGAACACCATTGTCTTGAAAATGGGGCATATGAACTCAGTTGTAACACTTTGGATAAACCAATGAATGAGGTTGGATTCTGTCATGCTTGTCCTGGTTGAAAGTGACAACAAAAGGTCATGTTAATGAGAGAAGAGTACCTCTTTTTACTTTCAAGTTATGCAATAATCTGGTTTAAATGTGTTGACTTGCCCCTAGGTAGGCCAGGGCAGTGTTGAAAAGTGTTCGAAGCAGGACAGCAAGTCTGCAACATGGTGCAACTTACCAAAGAGCAAAGGGTGTTTGTCGTGACGAAATGTCTTGAAAACAAGAGCTTTCAAGCCACCCAAGCTGCATTTAGGGAGGTCTTCCCTGATGGGGATCCACCGGCAAAGTCGACCATCTGGGAAAATGTGCCCAAATACTGAGAACATGGGACAAAGTATTACAACTGAGTTCGGATGCCCCATTTTCAAGACAATGGTGTTCAGTCATGCGTGACAGGAAGGACACCATCAAGATATCATTAGAAAGAATACTGCTTCTACTTTTCGGAGATGCTTATACATTATAATCATATCTCATAGTTTAGGCATATTAACCCCTTTCCTCAGGGTTTGGGTTTTTTTTCTGGGACACACTGAATGATAAGTTTAGCATTGAATAGATTTGGTTTGGCCTGGAGACGTTGGTGCTGGTGATTAAGGGGTATACATTTTTCTCCTCCTGTGTATCTTCCAAAATGGCTCAGTCCACATCCTCAACATCCTCAGAAGATGAGAGGGTCTGAGGTGCATCTAAGAAGATCGGTGTTTCAAGAGTTGAGAGGTTTTTGAGCAAATTTTAGTAATACTTATGCTTATTTGGCAGTTATGTTTTTTACCTGTGGTATGAAGGAGACCTTCTTTCGGAGGTCGTGCAGCCCTATCGGGGCCGTGTTGACACCGTCTATCATGATGGTACCCGTGGGTTCGGCCAGTCGCATTAACACTGTCATCAGGGAGCTCTTACCCGCCCCTGTCCTGCCCACGATGCCCACCTAAAAGTCACAGCGACGATCTATCCGTTACTTACAAAAAAAGTAGTCTCAGTTACCCTATCAACCTCGGATCGATTTCTACTACGGTGTAGCTTGATACAAGTTGCATTATATGAAACAATGTTTCTGAATAGGTGAAACGCCCATCACATGCTGATAGAAAACTTGCATAGTATAGGCACTGTAGTCTTTTTCAGCCCCTCTGTGGCCAAAAAACCAGACTAATTGAACAGTTTAAAAGATAACTGTTTTCCTAGCACGTGCAAATCGAGTCGACGAAGCATATTCGTATGAGATTTTTAAAATGTGATGCGTGGTAATACTGCGCACACACCACTTTGAAAATTTTACACATAGTTGGAATGTGTTCCCGATCTCTCTATCTGTCCCTGATACAGTCTGGCTTAAACCATAAAACCTCAATATTCCCATCTCAACTACCTTCCTCTTACGGGGTCGAATTTTCTTGGACATTGGATGGGTTGATTCCATTGAACATTGCCATCATGACATCGGACTCAGTCATCCTGACCGTACCTTTTCTCTTGGCTTGATGGAGCAGCTGATATTTTGCAGCACTTGTGGCCCGTCAGGAGTATATCTCAAGGAAGTATCATGGAGCGTAATGCCTCCATCTTGCGGCCAGTCAGGAGGCGGTTTAAGGTCAGTCTCCAACGGAGCTTCGGGCTTGATATCAATATATTGACACACTCGCTCCACAGATGTCATCTGAATAAACATAAATAGACCGCAGTGTTACCATTAACTCTCTTGAAGCATGACGGACACAATAGGATGGCGCTACTGACGTGAATAAGTCTACAGTAAACAACAGAAATTTCAGACGAGTACGGACCAACACTCTCCTTGTGTCCACCATATCTCAAGCAGGCTAATGAGCAATTACTTTGGAGTTGACGTGTACTTATGCACATACAACATCCTTAAAGTGATAGTTACCCTAAACTTGTTTAAATAATAATAAGTACACTTACTTGATTTTCTAACTCTGCACTCCGCCGAACCGCCCATTGAAGCACCCCCAGTAGGCTGATGGCGTACGTCAACGACAGGCCGACAGTGCCCGAGTTCAGATTAAGGACTATATGCAAACAGAATCTTATCAATTGGATGGAGATTTATGTAATACTTAACGAACAAAATTGGCCTGAATCAAAGAATTCACAAACACAAATGTTAATGTGCGCTAGTAATCCCGCAAGCAATCTGTTTGTCAATGAATTTGTTATGAATTGTGGCCCCAAAGATAAGATGCAAATGTAAGGAAGGCCATCTAAATTAATGTCCACGTTTGCAGTTAAAATGTCAACAACAAGGTACATACATTCATCTTTATACTCTCTCTCTCTCTCTCTCTATATATATATATCTATAGATATGCGCTTATACACAAATTCTTTACAAATCCACTTATACATTTGCATATTATAGGGGCTGGCAGGTTTGCCTTCAACTTACAACCAGCGGTCAAAATGCAAGTAAAGCTAACTCCGCAGACGAACAAAGAACTGAGGAAATCCAGCTGCACTCCGAGCCAGCGTGACGTCGCCAGAAAGAGGAACCAGGCCCGGGTGTGGCTGTCCAGGTACCTGTCAAAGTCCGCAGTGAAGCGCTGCTGGGCCTTGAACGCCCGGACCGTGCTTAGACCGGTCAGAGTGACCGACAGGTGGGAAAATACAGGGCTGCGAGCTGCAAACATTTTTTTAAACAATTTTCAAAGTCAACAACTTTTCATGCAGGGTATCTACCAAGACATTTCATGATATTACAATCAAATAGATCTAAACTAAGTTATATTGGCTGCTTGATCAGTGCAAAACTTCTACCATGGAAAACACTGGCAAATAGTCAGGAAAAAATCAACTTAAAAACGCAATTTTTGCGATGATACCACAAATAATGAAGATTCTTATTGAAACAATTCCATGGGACATCTCAAATTTACTGACCATTAGAAAAGACAAATGGCAAAAACTACAATTATAGTTGGTTCTCTGAAATAGTTTCCCAAACCTGCCAAACGCATCAATGTAAAAAAAAAAATGATCACAAGTGTTGTAGCCAATCCTTCTCTTATTTCACCGCCAAAGGTATGCGATCTGAACAACAATTATTACTGACGCACCTATTCCCTCTAATCTCATGACGTCTCGAGAGGAGGCTAAATAGAATCTCCTTATGAGGAAAAACACGATGACAATCGGGAGGGTGAAAGCGAGGCAGAAAGGATTGAAGGTGGAAATCAAGATGATGTAGGCTATGGTATCCAAGGAAATCTGGAGGGAAAGTTTACAAGAAACAGTAAAGAAAAATGTTATAACCGTTATTATGTTATTAATGTTATAATAATAATGTTAAATATGTGTGTGTTATAACACACACATTGGAAACAAATAAAGTAACAAACAAGAGACAACAGACCAATTCGTCCTGCTGTAATGATGTAAAGGTTTCTTGATAAAATTCATTACAATGTGCAAATAAACCTTAACTCTGAGGTAGGTCCTTCCCTTTTATCATTTCCTTTATAACACCCTATCGTTTTCATCTGAATGTGTCGAGTGTTTTTATTTCCAGTCTTCTAAGTCTGCTCGTTCGTTTTCTTTTGGTTGTTTGTCTTCTCCTGATGATTCGGTGTTTGTCTAGTTTCTAACGTGATAGGAAATTTCTACACAAGAGTTGGTCGTTGGCGATAAATCAAAGAGAGACTAGGACGCTTGGTAAAACAGGTCCTTTTTGAGCGTGTTCGATTGGAAAACCACTCTTACTTTCGTCGGGAAAACTATGCATGTGCAACACGCAAGAGTAAACAACTGGTATTGGGTTTCTCGACGTGCCCAACTGGGTCAAAACGTCATGCAAATTTAAATTTTCTGAACGAACTGGAATTAAGGTAAATAAAGAACACTTACACAATACCTGTTCTCAGATTTGCATAACTCACTTGGCTTTAGCAAATTTGCCTCTTCATGCAATGACCTGTCTGGACTAGTAACAACAGCTTGCCTTCCCTTCGCATCACTCAAGTAAGCCGCCATTTGTGGCACTGCATTTCAAATACTTAGCAGAGTAACTGGCTCAGCGGTCGGTTACTTATGCCAAGCTCAAGTAGGCACAAAACGTTACGTTAGTCTCAAATTGAACACAGTCTTGCTTGCCAGGGTAAGCGCGGGGGATGTAGTCGAATACGCTGTATGTCAGTTCTGATCTTGCGATCATAAAGGATCAGTTTATCTGCTGCCACTGGCGTCTCAAAATTGTCAACGTATTAGAGTTAGGATCTACACCCCTTTTCAATCTTATTAAATCGGACAAAGTATTAGGCTACCCGCAGAAAATCCGAAAACGTTGCAGGCAGGAGATCATCCATGAAGCCAATATCCTTCGAAAAGCGATTCAGAATCCGACCTGAAATAGAACAAATTTTTGTTGGTATACCATCTATATCTTTTGTGAATTTTATGCAGCTGACAGGAGAAATAAAAGTTTGATTAGTAAGCATATCTGCCATGATCCATTGGACAGAGCAGGCAAAGTCGAGTCTTATATGAGGCACGTGCACAAAACCGTCCTCCAGTCCCTGTAAGAATATTGACCTTATAATGAGAAATCGTGGTTCTTGTCACGTCTTCCTTGTCTGAAAACCACTATCAATGGACAGTTCCTCGTCAAGCACCCCAAAAGACAACTGAAAAACATCACTCAACAGGCACCCAAGAGTCTGATTTCAGGACTCACCCACTGGATTTTTATCGAAGAACTGCATGGGTGCTCTGATGACATCAGCAAACACTTGGTTGTGAAGGGCCTTAGAGGCACTCACAAACAAATGGAAGAATAGAAAGCTACGGACGAACACAACAAGCGTTGATCCTCCACACAAGATGGCGTAAATCCTGATGTAGTGCGGCTGTTGGTCGAATGTGGTATCATTCTGGTTATCCTGTGGGTGGAGAATAACGAATTTCAGGAAACTGGTTACAATTTAGACAGAGACAAGATCACACCACTAAAGTCTTACAAATTCCTTTCCAACGGTAATCTGGCCTTTTTTTTAACAAACCTGATTTCTGACGGCTAAATCCTTCTCTTCCTCGTAGGCCCACGTAGCCAACCAGAAGTCCGTAAATGTCAGCAACGCCTGCATTTGGATTGCAAAGCAGATTTTTATGTACTGCACTTGTTGGTTTATTGATTAAGAATTTTGTTTGGACTGCTTGGCGCCACAGAGGTCCATATTTAATCTTCATTAACTTGAAATACTTACTCTACCGCATTTTTTTCGGAGGAGGGGGTGAAAGGACCACTCCTGTGTTGGTTTTTGGATTAAAGCCCTGAACATTGTTCCAATAATTGTCACCTTGGCTATCCATTTGTGATAAGCTCAGACTATCTGCCTTGAGCAGAAACACCCCTTTATCAGTTGAAAAGCTGGTGTGGAGCGTTCGTTTTATTGCAGGTTGCACGACACATACGTAATTCATGGATTTCATTGTCTTTCTTGAATGAACAAAGTGCAGTTCCCACCAAAGGAACCTTCGGTGATAGGAAATTGCGCCCTCTCTTATTCCCGCACTGGGCCAGTTCTGAGCACGCAATTCGAGCAATTAATCCATGCTTCACGCTCAAGTCGCTACCAACAAGCTTGCACTTGAGAGAAAACTCCAAAACCAATACAGCTGTTGATAATTCAAGTGGAAATTATTGCGCTTAAGGCACACACGCAGCTGCAAGTTGCAGTTCTCCCAACTATCACTGGATTCCATCTGTGTAGTCAGTGGTGCTAGCTTACCTGCCCACCGACCGCGACAATCACCCAGACGAACAAGAAGAATAATCCTGCTGCTGCCCGAATGTACCGGATGTACACCTTCCAATCAACAACACCCACCGCTTTCTCTTCTGGACTGATGTTGATGGGTGTCTCCACCTATCACGGTACATTGAGGGAGCAAAAGGCACAGGGAAAGAATGAGAAAGATGAAAAAAATGATTTCTAGAGAGAAAACAACAGTAGGGATAAAAATAAGGCGCAAATAGTATTTCATTACCACCGTTTCTATTTTCATGTACACTCCACACACACAGATAAGTGTGTAAACGCCTTCAATCTTGGACTCCCTATTGTTCCTCTTTCGTTCATACTTCAACTTTTCCGGAAGACCTCCCATACGTTTTGTACACGTTTTTCAACCGTGGACTCTTCGGCAACTGTGGACCCTATTGTTATAGGTCCACGATTGAAGGCGTTTACACACTAATATACACATACAAAAGCCATATTTATGGAACCATGTTTCGGCACATTTTGCCTCTTCCAAACTAGGTATAGGACCACCTCATCCTGGACAGGAGAAAACGAAGCATTGTCGTGAGTTGATATGTTTCTTTCACGTGTGTGGTGTTTGAGGACCATCTGCTTTTCTCCAGCGTAATCAACGTCCTCAGATTGCTTCTTCAGGAAAGTCGCGAAGTCCACTCCTTCCTCCTGTAGCTGGCGGTAGGTCCCATAACCAGCTGTACTGCCCTGTCAAATTATGTGACACACACAACAAACAAGCAGAATTTCTCGCAAATATCACAGGCGTACATTTTGAAAATCCTTTAACTTTGACATCTAATGACGAAATTTACAGATGTGCAACCAAACTGTTCTTAAAGTAAAATCAATCTGAAGCTGCATCCTCATCTCTTGTCTAATGCTAGGTCTCAGCCTGTGGAGTCACACGGACAATAGCAGAAGTCGTGGTTCTTGAACCTGTTTCGGATTCTACCTTAGACTATCAGCTGCACTTAATCCAATTTTAATCATACAGAAATTTCAAAACTCCCAAAAGGTCTAAAAATAACGGAAGGTATGTTAATCGAAAAAGCAAACAAAAAATTAAAGATTTAGGTTTCACGGGATGTGATGGGACTGAAACTTTTTTCTCCTCTTAAATAACACGCGTCTGGGTAACTTTGTTTTTTTTTCAGGTTGTTTGCCGATTTTCGAATTAATCCCAGAAAAAAAGGTTAGTCCATACATACAGGACCCAGACGACATGAATCGGAAGTTTTTACAATGTACCTGTTTCAGAATGAGAATCTTATCGGCTTTGTCCAGGAACTGTAGCTGGTGAGTGACGAGGACTCGAGCCCTGTCTCTCATCTGATGAAGAATGCACCTTTAATTCAAGTAAAAAACATCCTTAACCCCAAGATAGACGATCTGGAAGAGGAATTTGCATGACTGGAGAGGCTGATTTAACTGCACAAAACTCGCTATTGCCATGCAAGGTGGATAACTGCTAGCAGGCCGATGCATTTACTGGTATACTAGTGTTTTTTCAATGCGTCTCACTGCTGCTGACAAGGATGAAAATAAAAACTGCATCCCAATCCAATTGGGATGCATCCCATATCTTCTGAGAATGTAGGAGTCTCCACTACCTGGCGAACAATGTCATAAATTATTTTAACAAACTCAATTGTCATTTGATTCACTTAGTGCCCTACTGTATGCATTCAACCGGCTGTACAACACACACCAGATGCAATTTGTCTCCATAAATGGGGGACTTGATTAAGACGCTTGATGGCGGCAAACGTAGCGATCCAATGTGGTCAGTCCACTTTTGCTTTGGGTCCTGTACATTATTTTGAGCTAGAGAGCGCAAACAAGTTCGAACGTGCTTTCGAACATGTTACTTGTGCTGAAACGACATAAGTACATCAGCAAGACCGTCCTCTCAATCTAGAAGGAGCGTATTCTTGGTCTGACCGTTCTGTACTCAAAGTCAACCCGAATAGGACGAAACGGTAGACTAGGTGTTTTGCTTGCCCCACCACGCGCCTGAAAAGTCACTCGTATGCTGGCAAAATTCATACACGGCTCTTGGCTTAAATCGAGTCAAGACGTAAAGAAAGATATGTAATCCTACAGGCAATTTACGTTTCAAAGAGGTGTCTTCCAACTGTCGGATCCACTGCGCTAAGCGGATCATCCAGGAGATAAACATCAGCTTCGCTGTACAGGGCCCTTGCTAAGCTGACCCTTGCCCTCTGACCTCCACTAAGGGTCACACCACGCTCACCGACCAGTGTCTGATCTCCATGAGGTAGCAGCTCAACATCCTTTAGATACAAGATTCATTAATACACTGTCTATCAAATGCACTGTATCATAAGTACTGAGGTAAACATTAAGCCTTCTATAATAACGAAAGAATAAAAAGTAAGGACTACAATAAATCAATTTGAAATTGAAGAGATGCAGCAACCAACTTTTTGTCATTTTTTGAATCTATTTAAAATTTCGACCTTAATAAGAGAAAACAAATCCTAACAAACCTTACAGCTCAGGCTCCATTTGTTCATTCTGGGGTGAGTTAAATTAACTTCAATTGAATCTTTTTAGTTTGCAGAGGGGTAAAATTTTCTCATATATATTTTGCAATTTCCCTTTTAGGTCACTGTAGTCAGTGTAGCCTAGATTGTGTTCTTCATGATCGGAGGAACAAGCAGATAGGTGGGGTTTTGGCCAAACAACAACGTACGCAAAAACGTTTCAGGCAGCCAAAGCCCAAACCTTTACCAACAACCACCTCCAGCACTGCAGTCAACCTTCTGCAACGCCTGTAACTGACGCTGAACAGAAACTTCCCTGTAAGAGTCTCAATCTCTGTTCCACTCCCCCACAGTAAACGATTTTGAACTCAGCCAAAATCTAACTAAATACTTTTGCAGGATACGACTTCAAGTATTCTTCTTTGACTCTGCCCTGTGCGACAGGGAGCCCCTCCGTGTAAAAAACACCTGGGTACATCCACATTTCTAGTCGTGCATCGGCCCTTGAGACCTATGCACAGGCTGTTCATGCACAAATGAATAGCCCTGATCATTTTCGTCATAGTCCTCATGACAATTTCTCCAGCGTTCAGCACTCAACTCCCTGAGCTCCCGCACTGACATCATCATCAAGCCGGCAAATAAAGGGTCAGCCGTGGTGATCATGAACCGACAGCAATACATTAATGAAGCCCATCGCCACTTCAACAATCATACGAACTATATTGCCCATCGATTCGGACCACACAGGAACATTCTCACAACAGATTCAGCAGGTACTGAATGATATGCTCCCACATGACCAACTATCTCAGAAAGTTCACAAGTTTTCTGTCCCCTATTTTTTTGTAGAACTGCTAGGTTGTACCTACTCCCAAAGACCCATACGGCAGGGCATCCAGGGAGGCCCATCGTTTCTGTAAATGGATCGCCCACTGAACACATTTCATTCTTTATTGACACTGATACCCCTCGTTCCACAGATCCCGTCATATATGCACGATATGCCAAACTTCCTAAGAAAGATGGAAAACATCAGGAACCCGATTCCCGGTACACTCATCATTGGGAACTTTGGTGAATTGTCCCTCAATACTAACATTCCACAAGGAGAAGGTATTCGTGCCTGCTGCTCTGCTCTCGTGAAGAGCGGACACATAACTCCCCCATCAGTGATGCGGCGACGCTTATGAGACTTGTACTAACCAAGAACAATTTCTCCTGCATGGGCAAACACTATCTACAGGTACATGGCAGAGCTATGGGCACCCGCTTACCTCTTCCCCGGGGAGCCCTGAAGAGCGTATGCTTACTTCAGCACCACACTGCCCTTGGATCTGTTGGAGATGGTGTATTTTTCATCTAGACCAGTGACAGTGGCCATCTTGACATCTTCATTATAAACGTATCAACTCTTTCCACAGGACAATAAATTCCCTTTATCAGGCAAACTTTCTCGATGTCAGTATCTGGAAAGAGAACAACCTGTGACTACTGACCTGAATTCCAAGCCCAATGATACCCATCAGTATCTTCACACATGCAACTGTTGACCTAGACACTGCAATACTCGTATTGCATACAACCAAGCACCCAGACTTAGATGCACGTGTTCTAATGATGCAGAATTCTCCTGCCATACACAGGAACTGAAAAGGAATTTGATTGCAAGGTTTCACAGCTATCACTGGGTTCAACGCTCTGTCAATTGGGCCTACTCCGCCCCTAGAGGTCTTGCACTCAAGGAGAAGGTCCCCGTGAAGAAACCATCCCAAGGGTTACCTTGGTCACCACCTTTCATCCTTGTCTTCCTCCCCTCAGCAAAGCAATCAATAACAATCACCGTACCCTCCACACTTCAGACCGCCTAGCCAGTGCCATCCCAGACACGTTGCTTAATTGTGGCCTACAGGTGTCCTCGCAACCTACGGGACCTTATCGTTCGGGCACAGGTGCCCCCTTGGATACCCCACTCCTAGCAATGCACGTTCAAATGTGATATTAAGAGATGTGTTGCTTACCAGAACCATTTCCTGGAATCAGACACATTCTCTGGACAATCCCCCGGCACCACCCAAAGAACCAAAGGCATTAACAGTTGTAGCTCTTCTACTGCCATATATTCTATCTCTTGCAGGGTGTGCGATGTTCATTATGTTGGAGAGACTAAGAACACTCTCAAGAAGCGTTTATAGGGTCACATATCCAAGGTCAACACAAAACGACTAGATACCCCTGTGGGCCACCACTACAACTTTCCTCACCATTCGATGTCTGACATAACCCTACAGGGCATAGAATCACTTGGGCACAAAGATGCCGCTCGCTTCAACACTCTCACCATACAACCCCATGGCCTGAACATCAAAGACGGAAACTACTAATAAACATTCTTTCCTTTCCCTCTCTTTTGCCAGGAAATTATACCTCCCCCACACACGCGTGGTCCAGTTCGTTCCATTGTATTTTTTTTTACATCTATCCCTTTGTTGCTCAACCATCCCTTTCATGCAGTCCCCTTTACCCAGCCTGCAGCTTTCTTGACCTTTCCTTTTGTCATTTTACATTCATCCATGCTTGGTTGATTCCCCGTTTGCCTGTTTGTGCTGACAAATTTTCATTTTGCCTTTGAGAAAGATTGTGCAAGGATTGAAACATCAGGCCCTCCACAATTTGTCAAATAGATGTTGTTGATTTCATTAAAACAAACGATTTGAGAGTAAAGCAAAGCATTATACAATACTAGGATTTGAAAAGTGGCTCCAGTCTTCTCTGCACTAACCCTGGTGAGCGCACATTGCCCAATAACTCGCTTGTACTTGGTTGGCTCGTACCCACTCCCGAAAAGGATATTGTCCCGAAGTGAGCAGGACAGGATCCAGGGCTGCTGGGCCACGTAGCCCACCTGACCATTCACGTTGTTGACTCCTGATACAGTAGGAAGCTCACCCAGCAGGGTCATCAAGAGGGAAGACTGACACGGGAATCCAGAAATAAACCAAGTAGGCATAATGAAAATGGAAACCCCATACCTGATCCTTTCAAATGTATACACCTTTGTATAATTATAAATATATTGCATCTCGATATCAACAAAGGGTCCTTCGTTTCATACTTCAACAATGCGGATAGCAAGATATCAGAATATTAAGGAATGGTGTGTGGTAGGGGTCACTTGTTAGTCATGCAGTTATGTTGTCCTATTCTAGACGCATACAGACTTCCGAAAAGGTAAAGATCTACTTTCCTATGGTAGAGCTGTTCAGGTATTACGTGTGGCATACAGTTCCGGATCAGTTCCCAGTAAAACAAGCCAAAGAATTGGCTTATGAGTGTCCCATTGTCTGTCATTGTTGTTTGTATTTTAATATAATGAACGCAATAAAAGTATTCTATGTTTGTAAAGTTTTTTGTTATTTTGATAATAAATTTTGATGTTATTTGTTTATTCTGATCATATAATTGATGTGCAATTCAGCCACTAGGCTGCAAGACATCGTGGCTAAACTTAACTCAAATCAACTAAAATGGTACAGATCTTTGGCCAAGTATTTCTCTTATCTAAATTAATATAGCTAAATTCACAAATTCCTTTTTTCTCTACTTGGACCCACTTTTGTAACTCACCTTTCCACATCCAACGGGACCAATTACTGCCAGAAGCTCTCCAGGCTTAACGCAAAAACTGATGTTTTGAAGTACACTATTGCTGACATTCTTGTTTGAAGAAAGTGTATTCAAAGAGGGGTTAGATCTTCATATTAAAAGAGGCCTAATGTAAAATGCACCTTTCTTAAACCATAAAAATACTTATTAAGGATCAAAAATGAAGTGGAGGGTAACCAATTCAATCACCTTATTTTCATTTGATGCGCGGTATGTGGAATTCGTTTCAGACTTACAGGTTTGTCCATTACATTAGGGGGTCCCCCTTTGCCACATATCGTGCTGGATATACCTATTTCAGTCCAGGTTTTGTAAAGCAAACACTGAGTTTATTTTCCCTTACCAGTGTCTGACTGCATACCTGACCAGAATGGACACTGGAATTTAAAGCGTAAGAATTTCATATCATCAAATTTTGACCTTTGTTCTTCTTCTTCTTGGCGATATGCAATCGTCATTAAAGTTATAGTTAAAGTCCGTGACTCAATGCAAAAATTTATGACGTCATAATGACGTCATCACTTTCTCGTTTATTAGGTTTCAGGTTTTGTACACGTTTTCCAACAGCCAGACTTCAGGACTTTGGAAAATCTAATTCATGTTTGTGCACACTCTCACTACACCACGTGAAGAGGGTCCTAGAACAAAATTGTCATAACTACATGATCAAGGGTCACGTGACATGAGATTAAAGGTGCAGTATTTCTCCATAGGGATTTTATTACGCGCTGTTATAGATCTGAATGACTGACTGTGGGTTTTCCACTTAAGTCAAGGACTACTGTAGGAACGAAAGAGAAATCGTGTTTTTATTGCTTTTCAATTGCTTGCAAATATACCTTAAGTGCAAAATATGAAGTAATTTTTTGAAAAAAAATGTAACCCATATGCAAATCACATGGAACTCAATAGAAGGCTGTCTGGGTTTTTTAGCCCTTTGACTTTGTACACGTTTTTGTTGCACAATTTTGGTAACTTGCCGAATCTCAACTGTTATCAAAGCTACAGCTAACAAAGACCATGGTACCATAAATTGGCCAAATTCATGACATCATGATGACGTCATTATGTGATTTTTTTGACTCGTACTCCACCAAAAAGGATCGGGGTTTTTAGCCCATTCACTTTGTACCCGTTTTTGAAGCAACATTTTGGCATTGTTCCAATCTCCAGTCGTCATCAAAGTTATAAGTAGCAAAGACCCTGATACAAGAACACTCTCCAAGTTTACAAAGTCATAATGACGTCAACGCGTGATTTTTCATTGATTTTTGACTATTTAAATTTTTTCCACATGTTTTGTATACGTTTCTTCAACAGCCAGACTTCGGCATTCCTATTGACCTGACTGGTTATAATTACATTAGGTGATCACTCTTACACCACATGTTAGACAGGGTGAACGAGCCGAATCGTCATAATGGCATAATCAGACGTCACGTGACATTGCATTCGATGTGCAAACAACAAAGCCTTGTATCGACGAAAGTCACATTTTGTTGAAATCTTGCAGACGACTACAAAAGGATGTGCTGTAGACGAAGATTGACCTGATGTTATTATGATGTCATCATAAAAAGTCACGTGGCATCAAAGATGCACTCCTAAAAGCCCTATATCTCCTGATGTCCAATCGAGTTGGAACTCTGCAAATAAGTAGAAAGGGAAGTGAGTCCTATATCTACAAAAGTACATGTCCCGCCGGGCTGAAATTTTGCAAGTAACTTCAAAAGGAAGTTTACAGACGAAACATTACCTCATGTGATGAGGACATAATAATTCACATTTACAAAAAGAATGCTAAAAGTTCTGTGTATCATTGGCAAACATACAAATGAGCTCTAGTTTTTCTTCTTCTTCTGACCCAAGTCCCTTTTGTTTTGTGCATGTTTTTCTAGTCACAACTTTGGTAATTGGGCAACCTTGGATGATATTCATCATTTTACGTCAACGATCAACACTTATGAATAGATGGTCCCAAAAGAAAGACGTTGCAATGACGTAATCAAGTGATTTATTACTGATTTTCAATATTTATTTTTGTCCCTTCACTTTGTACAAGTGTTCACGGCACCATTTTCGCTACTTTCCTGTCTTTGATCGTCATCAGAGTTACACCAAGGAAAGACCTAGCAGGAAAAATATTACTAAAATAATCACGTCGTGATGACGTCATCGAGTGATTTCAATATTAAAATATTACGTTAATGTTGTTACAATAAAATGTTATATAAATTGTTAACATCCATATAAAATCAATTTTGGCCTCCAGCAAAATTCTGTTTGCAGTAAGTGGCAAAGTATTATTTGGTCTTCAATTCATATCGCGTGGGTTAAGTCACGTGACCCTTCCTTCAGGTCGAAACCGGAAGTAAGTTTATTTTTTAAAAGTGTTGATAGATATCCAGTTGTTTTCAACAGTGTTTGTCTGTTGGAATATAGTATTCTTCAAATCATCTCCCGAGGACGTCACGTAATTGTCGAGAGCCCTCTAGTGACAGCTTTAAAATTCTGAAAAATGAATTTCGAGTAGATGTCTGTGGCGAAGTTTGTCCGAATCGCATGAAATTGATGATAATCTTTGTGAAATTTGGGGCCAATTTCAAAACTCGGTAAAACAATCGATCAAAACAGATTTACGCGCGAATTGTTCAGTAGATGAAAGCTAAGACATCGGCGGCAAAATCCCCCTTACTATATTTGCAAAGTCGAAAATCCATTTGCATACTGTGCCAGTGCGTAGGGCATATGCTCAGGAGATGGAAAATTGCAAAGCACGTGGAGCTGAGAGCAGATCGCATTGTACGGAACGTCAAAAGGTAAATAAAAAAAACTATTTTCAATCTCTAATCTTTGCTCTCTCCGCAATAACAATAATGTTTTGTATCGCATCTTGTTTTGTACACTGCTGATTGGGTTGAAACCTTGCGGATAGAAAGGGAAGGTTTATAAACGGGATTTAAACTCGTGTAGTGACAATGTTATCAGTCGACAAGTCACGTGAAATTAAAAGTGCAACATTTAAAGCACTATATCTCCTGAGGCGCACACCCGATTGGGTTGAAAAATGGCAGATTTTAGAAAGGGAAGTGTTAAAGATGAATATTGACATCATGCAGTGAGGACGTCATCAGATGACATGTCACGTGACCTTAAAGAAACACTCTTCAAATCACTATATGTCGTGAAGGACATGTTTGATTCGGTTCAAACCTTGCTGATATCCCAAAACAGCAGTGCTTTAGACAAATGTTGACCTGATGTGATGACGACGTCATCACCTGATTTATTATTGAATTTTGAATATTAGATTTTTTCCATAGAGTTTGTACACTTTATACTACACTCTATTGTCGACCTTAATGAGTGAGTAGTCCTCAACTTCGACCGAGAATTTCTACCAGAATGAAAAAAAAAAGACTAAATTTTCCTATCTGTTCGATTACCAATATACCCAAGAGTTAAAATATCAAGTAATAATTCATAATAATCTTTCAGTTTAAACGCAAATCACGTGACATCTACGTGTTTTTTCGCATATGTGTTTCCAGCCCGTTGACTTTGTACATGTTTTCAAGCCACCATCATGGTAACTTCGTGATGCTTGATCGTTATCCAAGTGATAGCCAGCTAAGACCATGATTCAATAATTGTTCCAAAGGGATGACGTTATGATGACGTCATCACCTGATTTATGATGTACACGTTAATAAGTCACTATTTTAGTAACTCCCCGATGTTTGATCGTCATTAAAGTTACAGCCAACAGAGACCCTGATAAAAGAAGTTTGCTTATTTTATGGGGTCATGATGACGTCATCACTAACTTTAAATTGATTTTTGGGGATATTTAATTTTCCCACATAGGTTTTGTACGCGTTTTTCAGCAGCCGGTCTTTGGCATTCTGGTCAATCTGACTTATCCATTTATATACACGATTAGTCCACCATGGACAAGGGGCCCAGGACAAAATTGACTTCATTGGGCTCACGTCACATGAGATTAAAGTTGCAGTTTTCTCCATAGATTTTGTACACGTTTTTCTACTACGCAATATCATTTTAATGAGAGAAGTCCAGAATTCGGTAGACGATTACTATGAGAACGAAAGGGAAATCGTAGTTTTCTTTCCCTCTTCGTTCGATTATATACCAAGGCGTCAAGCATCAAAACAAAGAAATATCGAATAATGTTTCATCATATTTTTTTTCAATATAAATGCAAATCACGTGACATGACTTTCATAGCTGCAGTTTTTCTCCATACATTTTGTCCACGTTTTTCTGAAGTCGAAAACTGCTGCACTCATACATCTGAGTGATTTGATTTGGTAGCATAGGTAGTCCATCAACCCAAGGGCTGTTAAAATAAAAATCCTCAAGGTCCTGTCATCTGGAGTTACATGACAGTAGTTACAGTTTTCTCCATAGGTCGCACATGGTTTTTTTCACCTTCCACTTTTATCGATCTTACCAGTGGTTCGCCAGCAGATTACTGTGAGAATTTTAGACTAATTAAATGAAATTTTCCCTTACAAATTGATTTGTTTTCAAAAATGATAAAGATGAAAAAAAATTCCCGAAATAGCTCCGGGGTTGTTCACAACCATGTTCCTTTTATTAGTACTGTGGATTTTTTTTTGGGGGGGGAGGCTAAAACACAAGTTTGATTCACGACCTCATCTTTTCTTTCCCATAATATGGTTTGGGTCATTTATGTTTTATTCTGGGATTTGAAGGGGCCTATTTAACAGCTGCAAATGCATGAAAGTGAAAATAAACAAATGTTGTCAAAGGAACGCTGAAAAAGCTATGAATAAAACAAATCAAGAACTCATCTTCGAAAACTTTGCTAAACCAAATGTGCAGCTTATGTTTGTTGCTTCTGGGGTTCACTGAGTTGATTTAAGCTGGAATGATTGGACACGATGAAGTGCAACAGAGGATGGTCACTGGACATTTTTTATTCGTAAAAGCTCATAGAATGGAATGAGTTACATATAGATTTAAAAACAGGTACCTTATTCCACGATGCGTACACATTCCTCATAACAATCCCTTTCCAGTCTTTCCTGTCTGCCAAAGGTTCAGGCTTGCTTAGATCCTCTTCCTCGTGGATTCCAGCAGGTCCAACGTACCCTCTGATCACCTGATCGCTCTTGGGGTCAATCAGACAGCCCATGCTATGTACTCGTGCTTCTCGATCCAGGCGTTGTGAGATACCCGTCCAAACTTCCGTGACGCTCGCATTGCTAGCTTCCCTGTCAGCAACAGTGCCTTCTGCAGCAGTCTCGTCCAACGTAATTGCGGGGTTTCCCCTCTGAACATTGGCGTTATTTTCTACACTGGCCTCACTGGCATGTCTCTCAATCTCTCCCATGAGTAGGAATTTCTGGTTATTAATAAAAGTAAAAAATGTTGATATCAAGCTGTTTAATGAAATGTAATACCTCTGTAGACGTATAACTGAACTTTGAAAAACAATATCTGTGTGTGACCTTGTGGTCCAGATTCTGACCAAGAACACCCAAGATTTCTAGAACTTGGATATTTATATGGATTAAAACTAGTTTGACGTCATGGTCGAGTTATGGCCCTTCATCACCTCATCTTCAGGGTTATTATTATTTGTCCTTACCTGAATCCTAAGCATGGAGACGAGTCCCTCCGCCCTGTTAATCAAGCCTAGCGGGAAGTATTCGCACAGACAGGTTCGGGTCCTGTAGAGGAGCGAGAGAACCGGGAACACCTTGGACGACGTGACAGGGTTACCAAGCGATGCGTAGACCAGGAACGTTACGAATGTGGTCAGTAGGGCGCCATCGATCAGGAAGGCATAGATTACTGCGCGTAAGTAAGAGGTGTGCAGTATCTTGCGTATCTCCTCACTGCGGACCGAAACAGTACGAGACTTGCAGTGAAACAAAATAGCAGATTATCTCATTAGAAGATGGTTGGATGAAGACGTGTAACAATATATAGATCAATCATCAATGGCTGTCTTCAGGAAATTACCTTTTCACAGTGAAACCACCAATAACCGTGCTTGTCCTGTTGTTCCCTTTGCCACCTACGTTTTCAAAGGGTTCCCACCGGTACATAATTTTCCTAATTAGTAACAAATAACGATACCCTCCGTGAACAACACCTGTAACTAAATTTAGAAACGATCAGAAAGCTTTTCTTCCTTTCTTCATTCTGTATACCCTGACGATCATCTTACCGTCGTCTTTCAGTGACTAGTTTCTCAAAGGCTTGTTCCCAGGCGAAAATCTTGATGACACGCATCCCTGATATCACCTCATTCATGACACGGAGTCTTGCATCCGATAACAAGGCTGTCTTGGATCTGGGGGAGGGGGATAGGGAGAAATGGGGAAAGAGTGGGGTTTCTCTTAAAGGTAAAAACTCACACATTTTAAAATGGACACAGTCATCCAGAAACAAGCAAATATGTCTTGACAAGGAAGATACTTGGTCTTCACCTGAGTTTAGAAAACAGCTTCCCAGTATAAACTTGAAAGGGCGCCATCAAGATTATGACGGAGATACCTGCCAAGCAGGAAACTCCAATCTCTCGCCAGCACAAGACGATCATCACAGTCAGCTGGATTGGTGCTATCCACAGGTAAGTTAGGAACAAAAAGACCTGCCAAACAGATACATTATATAGATTCTGACAGAATTGGTAATGTTAAGAATCACCTGAAACGAAACGGTAAAGCAAACCAGTAAGTTCCAAAAGAAAACCCTGCATTAATATAAATGACAAATGACACAGAAGTAAGCACATGCGCAAATCCGCGGAGAGCCGCGGTGATAGGGCAGACTTCGCACGCATGTCAGAAAGACCTCTTTTTCGCTGCTGGAGTACCGAGCTGGCTCATTGTTTGGATTGAAATTACAAGCGGGCTCGATTGGGATATTACTCATGACATTCTGTTTGCTAATGGACCTCTGAATTAGACGGGGCATGCCATCCGAGCGGCTGGGCCACACGGTATGGACAATCAATGAAACACTTCTCACACTTGCCTGATCAAATTTGTTGACGTCATTGGAGAGGATGTTCACTAGCTGACCAACTGCGGTTTCTCCAAGTGCAACATTGCTGAGTTTTAGGGCCTTCAAAATAAAAGCTCACTGTTAGGATTCTGCCAAAATTCACAATAAGTCCAATTTTGAAATCATCGTATCCGTACTTGACAAACGTGTCAGACTTAAGTGGGCTAAAAGGCATGCCAACTACAGTTGAGAAAGAAGGACCTACTACCTTTCTGAAGACGAGGGCCGAGCAAGCTGTTCTGATCATCATCCCCGTCAAGCCGAATCCGAAGAAAGAATAGTGGTGGACAACAACGAAACCCAGGGAGGTCAACGAGAGACCGACAGCTTGCAAGTATGCCTCATTGGTTGACACGAGGTCGGTTGAGAAGTACAAAATAAGACGGGCCAACATGACCGTCTGAACCATCTTCAAGATGACCTCCTACGGACAGTGCGCATAACGGGAATCGTACTATCAGATACTGAATATCTATCTGTTCTGATGACATCCGGGGCAGATATAAAAAATACATTTATCAGGCTATGTTTTCTACTCTTTCCTTTAAACAAAAAGATTCCAGTTACTAAAGTATTTTTTTTACCTCAAAAAGTAATTGCAAATATTCCAAAGTTAGGCTTTATCCATGGAAATGTATTTAATTTTAAAGAGCGCCCCTTTGAGTAAAATTAAAAGATATCCCAGTGTTTACCTCAATGAAAGCGGGAAAACTGTAGAGCATAAACTTCACACCAAATACCCTGAACAACGCCCACGGGAGGGACGGAGATCTCCCTGTGATATTACTTTTGTTCAATTCTTTATTCCATTCACTGGGAAAACAAAGCAAATCAGTGGCAATTATGAACTTGAAGAAAATCAAAATAGCACGACCACAAAAGAATGATAATGCAATCTTCGTATTTTGTCAGGGAGTGGAATATTGTAGGTCTAACGGGTGTTGGTGTATCTCTATTTTGAAATGTAACTATGATGACCTGTTCTTTTTCAGATTGAGGTGTGGGTTGATAAGATAATGGGTTGTTCTAAATGCCCTTCGACCCGCAAAAATTCTTCGACCCCACGACCCCTCGACTTAAGTTAAAATCCCTCAAAACACAGATTAACAAGTGCCTGAACTTATGGAATGTGTGGTTTTATCAAACAGAGGTCTCCACTAACTGTGTTAAGTATCATATCCCCAGTCTGAGAAACAGAAGTGTTATGCATGCCCTGAGAGTGAGCTGTATACCTGCTGTAGTCAATCATAATAGTGATGTTATTGAGAGGTGTACACTCCTCATTCGGCAAAGGCATCGTCAAAAACTAAAAATGTTTACACCCTACATAGAATAAAGCCAAATATCAACGATTTTAAAAACCAGTAAAAGTCATTTTTGCATTGTTTCACACAGCGGGAATGATCTCCATTTCGTCATTCTATGTTATACATTATTGCATTATATGAATACTCAGAATAATACACAGGAGATTTTTAAATAACAATCTTTTGAGAATAACTATTAATTGAAGTTAGGCCTTCCAAAACGCCTTAGGGGAGCAGATACGTTACCGTAAGTCTACTTCCAGAAATTCATATTTTTAAATATGATTCGGGGGATATTAAAGTAGATATGAATTTCATTGGTACATATTGTGACAGGCAGACTAAATTAACAAATTTCGTTGATTCTGACAACAAAATCATCTTTTGGATATTGAAACAGTTGCAAGCTGATCAGATACGTTACTACAGTGAGATATTCAATGTAAAACAACAACGATGGTTTCATGTTATAAAGCTTTTGTGAAATTACAACTACCTACCTATTAAAAATCTTCATCTATAAATTCTACAGGTTCCATATTTTACTATAAAAATTGGGCATTGCTTTCACCATGACTTCAAGGTTATTCGGCACAACTTCAGCACACAATATACAATCCTTCTCGGAAAGCATATGCACTATGATCCACATGTGCAAGGACCTTTTACACGTGTAGAAAACCGGGAATTGATAACATTACATATATCTCATTTTTGTTGAAGTCAGCCTACAGCCTACAAGAGTTCGTAATCAGTAACGTATCTGGTGTAACGTATGTGTCCCGCTTATGTTGAAATAGGCTTCCCTTGACAAAATCTGTGACCCTACCTACTTCTTCCACCACTTGAGTTGTCGTCATCCAACACACTGTTGAGTGGTATACATGTTGAGGTCAGATGCCATTCCGTGTCTCACGAGGAAAGGGAAAATATGCAACGTATCTGGTGGTACACATACGTAACACATGGAATTCTGGGGCTACCAGTTCTAGTTTTTTCAAAGCTTATTAGATTTATGACATATGTACAATATAATTTCCAGTTCGATCTAGTCTGTGGGCAAGTTCAAAGGGCATGTTCCTCAAATGTTAAGTCTTTCTGTCGTTTCGAAAAAATGGTAACGTATCTGATTATGAAATTAGTGACGTGCTCTGAAGGCGATAATGACAAACACATAAGCTATTCTTTACCAATTTGTTATTTTATATCTAGGACATGCTACTGGCTAATAATAAAATGGGGTAATCACTGGTATGCGAAGGTCACTGTCTTCTTGACTGGCTCTAGGTCACGGATGTGTGTACGGTTGCGACGTAGAATGCTGTCATTCGGAGTATACACTATGTAAGATCAAGGGCTCAGTGTATTATTCCTTTATGGATGTTGTTGTCCATCGGCCGGATATCGAGTTGCGAATGGAGACTGGTTGGCCAATCTTGAGTGGTGTGAGGTCAGTGGTACGTCTGTCTTGGTACTGTTCCTGGCTGACATGGTGCTGTTGGAGACGGTCATGAATTTCATTCCTCGAGGTTAAGGTATTTCTGATCCTTGCAGGTAGGATATGACACGAACTTTTCTGTTGTAGAGGAGTTGAGCTGAGGTAGGGATCTTGTGATCTCAAGGAGTTGTACGGATGCAGAGCAATGCCATCTGCATGCCACCACCACTGGGTCGGGCTTTCATCAGTGTCTTTTTCACATTTTGTATGGTTCTTTCGATGAAACCGTTGGACCGGGGGTAGTGAGTTGAAGAAGTGATGTGGTCGAAGCCCCAGATTTCAGAGAAATGTCTGTAGAATCGGAGTGTTGTGCATTATCACTGACGACTCGTTCTCGGATGCCAAGTTCAGTAAAGATTTGCTTGGTGGCTGTTATGACTGCTAATCTGGTGCAAGGGCATGGAAAGTTTCTGATGAGTGGGAATTGTGAATAGTAGTCAGCACTGATCAGGAAATTCTCACCTTAGGAGGAGAGCAAGTCCATACCTACAACTTGCCATGGTCAGGTAGGGATAGCGTGTTGAAGTAGAGTTTCAGAGGTTGTGCTCTTTGGAAGTGCTGACAAGTTTGACAGTTCTTGACCAATGATTCGATGTCACTTGTTGTGCCAACCCAGTAGACACAGCCTTTCGCTTTTAGCTTTGTCTGGGAGAGAACGTGTAGCTGCTGTGTAGCAGGGATAACGATGGATTCCCCTTTAACAATTAACCCATCTTCTACAGCAAGGTCGTCTCGGAAAGTTCAATAGGAATGGAGAGCTTTGGGTAACTGTAAAATGATGCTGATTTCGTCTAGTCTCCTTCACACCAAACGACGTTCGAGAAGGTCAAATATCTCATCTGTACCTATCCAATACTTACCTTCTTCAGTCCCTGGAAAGAAACCACAATCCAAGTCGATGCATCAAGCAGAGGCATAGGAGCAGCCCTGACTCGGGATGGCAGGGCAGCCACCTTTGCATCACAATCCCTGAGCGAGACATAACAGAGATACGTCTACATAGAGCGTGAACTCCTTGTGGTACCGCAGTGCTTGGACGCGAGCGATTCTACACTTATGTAGGGGATCCAATGATACCGTTTTAATCTGTTTCATGTCTTTCCTTGTCGTCCTTAGTTTCTGTTCATAGCTGGTTGTCCGGAAAACATTGTGCAATGATATTTAATTTAGTACGTGTAGTTCATTTTAAGCTCTAATAATTGAAAATATGGGCCAAGGACCTCGAAATGTAATAACATTTGTTTATTTTTCATTGATGTTCTTTCTGTTGTAAATTTCCGAGGTTTGGCGGCCAAGTATCAACTTTTAGTTTTTTTCGAAGGGTCCGACTGTACTACACGGGCACATAAATGTCGCCCCAAAACGCGGGTTTTGGCTCCGCCTGCCTGACTCTTTACAAGTAGCCCCAGTCTCGGGCCTGACTATTGCATACAATAAACCCACTGGAGGGAAGAGAGCTGAACACTGGTTGCACATACGTATACTCGTGAACCTGCGTGCCAGCTCCACCCCCTTTTCCTCCGCCCCCCTTCCCTTGGCCCGGTTCTCCACACCTATATCTACGGCAGTAGCTTCACTGTCGAGAGTGACCACAATCCCTTGGAGATGATTCATCAGAAATCACTCAAGTGGGCTCTTCCAAGACTTCAACGCATGCTCCTTCGTCTCCAACCCTGTGACGTCAAGGTCATTTCCCGTCCTGGTAAACAGATGTTATTGCCAGACACCCTGTCCCGCAACCCAGTTCCAAATGACGACCACATCGACCTGTGTTACAACTCAGTTCGGATGTCCCATTTTCAAGACAATGGTGTTCAGACATGCATGACAGGAGGGATACCATCAAGGTATCATTAGAAAGAATACTACTTCTACTTTTCGGAGATCCTTATTCATTATAATCATATCCCATGGTTTGGGCATATTAACCCCTTTCCTCAGGGTTTGTTTTTTTCTGGGATACCCTGTATATGTGGCAGTTGTCAGGTTCGCTCAACCCAGGCTGCATACACGGCAATAACGCACTGTCTCAGACACAACCCTCACGAAGCTGAAGGAAGTCATTATTAGTGGATGGCCAGAACTCGTAGGTCACCAGTGGGGAATGAAGGGACTGAGATAGGTCACTATGCCAAGGAATTCTTGGAGCGTTATCTTGTCTTGAGGGGGTCTAATCTGTTTGATGGCACGAACCTTTTCAGGGTCCGGATGCACACCATGCTTGTCGTACATCATGCCAAAAAACTTTACGTTCTGAGTTTTGATTGCAAATTTCGCGCTGTTGAACATCAACCCGAACAGGCTGGCTGCCTTCATCAAATGACAAAGATTGTGACTGTGCTCATACTCTGTTGCACAGAATACCACAATGTCATCTGCAATGCCGATTGTGCCGGGGCATGACTTGAGAAACTGGTCCATGCGCATCTGGAACACGTCTTGACCATCACTAGCCCAAAGGGTAATCTTGGGTAACGATAAAGAACAAAGGGGCTGTTGAAAGCTGTGAGTAGGGAACTGTCCTCAACAAGTTGCACTGAAAAGTACCAATTTTTTGCATCTATTTTACTGAAGAAATGCGCACCTGAGAACTTATCGGTAATTTCTTCTATGGTGGGAGACTTGTGGGTTTTGATTGCGTTGTTCTATTCTTTGGGATCAAGGCAAATTCAGAATCTGCCATTTTTACGCCTGGAGACTTTGCTCACCCAGTTGGTTGGCTCTATGACACGTCTAATTACGCTTTGTTACTCCATGTTGTCTAACTCTGCTTTCAGCTCATCTTTCAGCTTTATGGGGCATTTGCGAGTGGCACAGATAGTGGATTGGGATTCATCTTTGAGAACAATATGGTATGCGCCTATAAAATTGCAAATTCTGTCAAACTATTAAGGATACTACTGAAGTAGCGCCTTTGTTGAGTCGATAGGGGAACACTGTGGGGTGGTAATTGCACAGTGTAGGGTAATGAGCTGAAGTTGTCGTGATGTGGGCAGTACAAGCATTGCTGAGCCTTGGGCTTACGATGAAGAATTCTGCCTCACTCCATTCAATCTGGTCATATCGGTAGGCTAGTGTTGTTGGCCCATGCTGGGTGATCTTCGTGTCGTTGTAGACGTGTAATATGGTGTGTTGGCGGGATACAAACTGTGGTTTGGGGAAACCGTCGGCAGTGAGTCTATCTAGATACATGAGACGGTACATGCAAAGGGGCAGGGTGTTGCCCTTGCACCTGTGTCGACTTTGAATTGCAGCTTGACAAGTGTTTTTGTCTTGCTTCACATCTACGAATGTATATGCCTCATCGCGTGTGTCGAGGTAACGGTGGTCTGAGACATGGCAATTGAACTGATGAATATTTCGTCAAACTGGTCGATGGTCTGGATTGGAGATATAGTGAACATCACGGCTGGATTTTGTCCTTCAAACGGAGCGTGTCTAGCTGTAGGCGTTGAGTTGATCTGGCTCTTGCTTTGGATGTGGAACGGCTGCGTTGTTTGCTGTTACGCAAACCAGATCTGCAGACGGATTGCTAGTGGTTCTTTTTGCCACATTTGTGACATGTAGTGTACGCTGGAAAGCACTCTCTCCGCATGAAGGGGCGAGTGCCTCCACGGTTACGGCATTGACGTCTCGATCTGACAGCATCCACTGAGCGGTCAGATGGTTGAACTTGGGTCAGCTGTCGATGCCTCATGAGTAAGGCCTAACTTAAGAGTCTGCTGCATTGTTAGGGTTTTGTCTTTGCCCGGGAGTTCTTTCTGTAAGCCGGTATGTCTCACACCTGCGATGAACTGCTCAATGACTCGATCTTGGAGCTCACCATCATTTGTGAAGTCGCGTTTGTTTGCGTGTATTGAGACGGGACAGGAACTCGTCAACAGTTTCGCTGCCTCATCGTGCAAACCTTTGTAAATACAGCCTTGCTACTCGAAAGTTCTCTTTGGGCCAAATTTGCTGCATGAAATTTTCCCACACTGGCTCTGGATTTTTTTTAATCTGCTTCATTCAAGCTCCAGAAGTTGTATATTCGTAGGCCTGGTGCACCCATGAAAAGGAGAATGTGGTCCCCCCTCTTATCTACGTGGACGTCCTTGACCGAGAAATATACGGCACATTGCTGTTTTAAAATGTGGATTGCCTTTGCCTGGTCTGAATCATCCCAGTTTATTATTGGGTGTAGATAAGCGTTCTCTTCTATGGCGATTGTCTATAGTCACTATCGGGATGTCTAAAATAGGAAAACACATAGTAGGTGCAGTGAAGTGGTGCTGTTATATCGCTGCGGGTTTGTATTGCTACCGCATGCGATACATGTACGCATATATACAGTCACGTTGGCACACGCTGGTCAATGCCCAACACGGTGCACGAAAAGCAACTTATTTCTGACGAAATATCACACCAGAAGTCCGGTAAGTATAATCTTTCACTACTTAACAATGTGTCCTAGATATCGAATTCAGTAATTTTACAGCTGCAACCATGTTGGCATGTGGCCTGAGGAACGGGAACAAGCATAGGTCTACTTTATGTCACTACATTTATTCAGCCATGTTGGGAAAAGTGTTCGGCACCCTTGTGTGACAGGTGGAAATGTGACATACACAATTTAAGTAGACTGCATTTGCTGGTTAAACGTATGCCAGCCACAAAATAAAAAGAAATCATTCAGTGAATTTTAAATGAAATGTGGAAAATAATCATTTATGAAAGGCTGTTTGAGATCAGTAAAATTAACAAAAGTAATGGAATTTTTGATGTTACTCATTGACATTGAACGTCGAAATCGAAAATTATACCGCAAAGTCATTCTTTTCATCGCTATGCAAGCTATAGGAATTCCCTTGCCGGAAATGGGGCTAGCCCAGGCTTCCTTACCTTTCGAGTTTACTCACTAACACACCTGCAGAGTGGTCGGGCAAAACATCATACAGGTCCTCCTCTACGAGAGGTCTCTTATACCCTCGACGAAAAAATCCAAACATCCAACTGTAAAATAGATAAAGGTTTGACTGCATCACTCCTTGTGCTACTTCACGCTCAAAACTTGGGGATCAACCTGACCCAGATATGGGTCAGGGGGGCCCGACCCGTATCAATACTGTTTTTTTTTTCTCTCATTTAGATCAGTTTCCATACTCAGAGAAAATGACCATTTCTACGAGTCAAAAGGTACTAAGGAGAAGGATCAAATGATTCGTCAAAGGGTAAAAAGGACCCAAAGAGTAGTTAGGCCTACTCTTTAGTCTGACAGAATCCAATTGTGGAGCTTTTAGAGTGTACAAATAGGGAGGTCTGTTGCGGTTAACAATAAGCCACATTAATACATTTGACATCAGGAAGACTCTTCTGGGTTCCCTAACGTTTTTAGTGAACGAAGCAAAACTTGAAGTTGTTCTTTGTTGTTGGATAGCTTACGTTCAAAATACTTCACAGGTCTTACCACTTTCGAATTAAGGGGCTCCAAAGAAAGTAAGGGAAAACAAACTAATTTTTGTGCTAAATCCGAGGATTCCTGGAAAGTGCCACAGAGCAAACGTTAAAAGGATTCTGCAGTTTGGAAGTTTGAGAACACCTTGGGACATTTAGGGTGAAACTCACATAGTAAGGTAGGGAGTTAAAGCCAAGCTGTATGACCATGACTGGTTCGTTGGTAGTACAAACCGACCAAGTGAGGTGAAACGAACCATTCAACCTAACTCAACCATCTACCGACTCGTCATCAAGTCTCTATAGTGACAGAATTTATCAATGCCATGAAGGCATTTTTTTATCGAATGTGTAAACACATCAGTTCAGCGAGCAACATACATGTGTAAAGTTGGCTCATGTACAAACCTGACCTTTATGCCTATTGAAATTCATCGACATTTCTCATCACTCTCAAACCAAAAGTCAAAGCAGTGGTCAAAAGAAAACTAAACAAAGAAAAGAAGAGAACGCACAGTCAACGGAAAAAGAACCGTTACTCCACCAATCCAAATTACCAAATTGAGATAATTTAAGATAATTAAATCCATTGTAAGCGGAACAAAATAAAGCATTTATAACCAACCTATTCAAAGCAACACTAACACAAACCGAAAAGATTATTTTGGAAAACAAGGCCTCAACCTTATTGCTAACCCCGGCAAACGTCTTGTGTTTGAGTTTGAACTTCCGGCTTGTGAGTTTGAACGTCGTGCTTGTGAGTGGACAGGGCCAATTTCATGAAGCTGCTAAGAAAAAAAAATGTTTAGCACAGTATTGTCTTGCTCATGTTACCAGTCAAAACTCCATGTACTTTTTATAATTAGTGAACATCAGCTGAACGCCACTCTCAGGCAATATACAACACATGAACAATTTCGTTAGTAGTCCTGTTTTAGCAAGGGGAAAAACAAATCATGCTAATGGTCCATGAAATTGGCTCGTATCACTCACAAACACAAAGTTCAAACTCACACATACCTGTTTTACAAACAAAGTGTGCTCATTTATTTGATCTCCTGCGGTTAAGGAACTTGAGGAAAATGCTCTTTTTTCTCCAATTAGGATAATTCCTTGGAGCTGAATTTTGGATGATGACTTTCTAAACTGTTCCTCTTTATTTGCCTATGGAAGTGTTCGGGGGGTGCATTGTGTGGATGTGTGCTAGTCCACACAACCCTACATTATGTGGACTTCGTTTGTGCAGACGTCCACCCTATGTATGTCACGCCTGCACACAAACACGACATTTGCAATTTACAAACACGTCGTTTGAACTCAAACACACGACGTTCATGTATTTAGAAATTTGCATCCTTGAGGAGACATGGCTTTGTTCATGTGTGTACTAATACAGTCGCGTGGGAAACAATGTTTCCAAAAAGCTCTTATTTCAACAAGAATCACGCTTCTTGACTGGAATTTTGACCAAATGTCGCTTATATGAAACACATCAATTTGCAACAGATTCTTACGCATTAATCTTTTGAGCAATTTCCAAATATCAGTTTCGTAAAATCTTTGTTGAGACCTTTCCACCTTCAGAAATTCCTCGTGGAGACCTCTTCGATCGATTCTCTTGCAATGGGTCTCCACAAGCTACCATTCGAAACTGGAACACAACTCAAACACACGAGGTTCCAACTCACACACGCAATGTTCGTCTGTCCACTTTAGAAAACCATAGTGACCTAAACGCTTTAATATAATCAAAAACTAAGAATTGTATTCCAATGCATAACAAATCCAAAACACCATCCCTTCAAAACCTCCATCAACCTGGCATCCAAAGCTAACACCTAGTGCAACACTAGAAGAATATTTAGACGCCACAAAATTCATGCTGAACGACCAATTGGCTAATAAATAAACAAAGATGAAACGAACGGCGAAAACCAAAGTAAACAAGTCTTCGTTACCACCTACAACCCAGCCATTAACCACCGTAAATTTTATATTAAGCATTGAATAAAATTCACTGGCTGGCCTTTAAGAGCAAACGAGTCTCTAGTCTTGGCACACATACCTACGTAATTTCAAACCACCTGCAAGTTCGTACGGGCCCCGGAATCACCCAGGTGCATCTGATACGTCCAATACGCGTGGACGAACGCGTATCAAACCCCTACCGGACATTTTTGTTATACACTCCAAGTAAGATTGGAAGTAAGTGGAGACGAAGTGTCACTGAATGGAAAAGTACCATCACCATTTCACACTCACTGAGTAATCTGTATTTCCATTGAATTGTATAATATTTCCAAAGTTTTCAGTAATGAGTTAACAGTTTCTTAGGCAGTGCAAATTTAATGTAGACGTGAAAGCAATAGCGATGGAAGAAAAACAAAATAATAATCTCAGAACCAGAAATGGAGCATCGTTGTTATGCTTTGCAAAACCAGTAAGCCAGTTCACCAAGTCAGTAGTCTGGGGTGATTAGTTTTTGATAAAAAGTAAGTGTTGTTTTCAACATTTTTCCAAATCCTACATTGCAGGATGTGGGAAGGGTTTACCGTTGGCATTCCTTCCTTCGTGGCTGAACCACTTATTAGTACTCACGAGGAAATCTTCCAATCAAGGGCAACTGTCTGAACTGAATACCGTTTTATGAGCAGGCAACCACTTTTGAAAGTCCAATGGCACCAGGAACAGGCGCTTTTCGGACTTACGTGAAGAATGTTTGGGAGAATAGGCCAGCCCCCAGCAATGGATGTGGCTGTCTTCCGCTCTGGCATGATTCCCTTGATGGGTCAGTTGCCTGGGACTCGCTGTTGCACTTCTTATTGTCTGCTGCTGATGAAGTAAGCTTACCGTCATGGACAGCCATGATTGCTTGTCTGTACAACCGCGGTACAATACACTATGACAGATCATGAAAGCAATCGGTGCACATTTCAATAACACTGCATGTTTAACCCCTTGTGCTTACTCGTTTCTCTGGGTCACGTCACATAAAACTTACACTTATTTACATACCGTACACGCTTTATCTCATGAGTGAACATACCAACTAGACGGTGCTTTCGAGCTTGTGAAGCGTATACAGCTGTAAGTAGCCTTTACGTTTTGGAAATAAAAAAAAGGGCATCGTTAATTCAGATAATGAAACTTCACTCTTAAAATTTAGTCCTTAAACAGTATCCATTAAATTGTTTTCATATTGAGTCTTCTCGGACTGTAGGCACTCGTTCACGGGGTCCAGCCCCCAGTCTAACACGCATCACCGAGCAAAGGCCTATTTTACTGACTTCATCACAAAGTGCCTATATCAACCTCAATCCCATGGGTAGGTTCTTGCTGCGCCATGTTGGCTCCCACAATGTCTTGCGCGATCTCAACCCCATGATATTGTATAATTTAAATATCCTACTATCCGGGATGTTTCAGTTAGGCCTAGTGTGTTTCCAGGTTTACGTGCGACGTGCGGGAGATCGCATGCGATTGACTTTACGCCTATGTATATTAATTTTGAATAGCCATCCGGAGTCATTTTCGTATTCAACACGATCAGGGGCTAGTGAAGGAGCACGCACGCAGCCCTGAGAGTCGAGGTTGTGCCTACATGTATTTGTACAATGGACGTCACGCTACAGCGCGCCTTTGCGAGAGTACGACTCAGATGCACGCGAGAGCGTCCGCGACGTTCTACGATGTTTGTGCGTTATATGTTCTCAGCAGATGTTCTCAGAAGTTCTGCCATTAGAGACGCAAAACATGCGCAGCAAAAAAACTGCACTAGGTTGAACATAGGTATCGCCTTTAAAAGTGTAAATTTGAATTTGGATAAAGACTCCCCATTGTTTTCAATATTTATTTGTGCTTCCGTTAAAAACACTTGTTGATACCAGCATTCTTCCTTGCTTGGTTGATTCCCTCTTTGCGTCTGTCTTCCTGTCCTTTTGAAAGATTTTATTAGGATCAAAATGTCATTTCGAATTTTAGGACACTCCCAGCCAGAATGCGGCAGTTTTTGAGAAATTTTCAGAAATATGTTCTTGCATGAACAATACTGGATTGCTAAATTTTAACAGAAAAACAGAAAAGAAGGTGGCTCGGAACTGTGTATTCCCGGATAACATCACAGAGGCATGCACAGTGTCAGTGTCTAAAACTGCAGAAGTATTCGACGAAAAGTTATTTTACAGAAACATCAATACAGCTTCCCTTTACAGCTACACTGGAATTGGGCAGCTATGCAGTATTACTTGTGCCTGCGTGTTACCGTGTGTATGTACCCCTTATCTTAAGTATAATTCGACAACCAAAATTCCAAACCATTATCATTACAGTAGAAAAACACTCTTGGGCAGATGGCAGGTGCGTGTTTAACACAAATTTAACACCACAGTTTTGCAGTGTACCAGAACTATCAGAGAATAAGCCTATTTCAAAAAAAATAAGCCTTTGTCAAACATTTCCCATGAATTAAAGAAGAGTGAAGAGATGCACAACAAGTGTGCTCAAGTAAAGTTCTTCACCCGGACCCTTAAACCAACATCAATTACTAAATACGCTATGAACGGTCTAAAATTCCGGAGATGTGCTATAAAACGTGTAATGATGTCAGTCTCCAGAGGTAAGCCTTTGTTCTTAATTCTTGGTTTTGCCATCGTTTGGCTTTGTCTCTAAAATTGGAACCACTATAAGACCTATGAGCCCTGACTGGACCGAGGGAGAGAGAGAGAGCGCTCTTCTTGGCAACGGAGCAACGTCTAGGAAATGCATGCGTTACAGTCGCACAGCTACCAACAAAATCAACACTCCTGATCAACACAGCCTTTTTCCATCGAAGAGGGTTTGTTTCTTCTCAAGGCAGGCAATGTCCAGATCTCGGTAGACTGAACTGAATCCCAGAGCCCGTCAGACGAAAACCAAGGAGGCCCTTTCTCCGTCCACCTTCCAATACTTTGGAAAGTAAACTCCAAATTTACCCCTCCAACTTTTTTGGTCAGTTTGCTGCTCGGAAGAATGTCAGGCAATGCCCATGACATGTACCTATTCATCTCAGAGTAGAGAAGAGTTTATACGTGGTTTAAGATTCATTTTGGGGGGATTAAAAAGCACCCTTTTACTGAATCTCGTTCCTGTCAAATCATAAAAGTGTGGTTTCGACCTCTCCAAATGAAGAAGTGACAAGCTATATCTACAGCGATCGTATCTGAAGGTAATTTGCTGCCAACTGAAAACCGTCAAGTTATGCCCCAACCCTAAATGGAGATCCCTGTGCCTAGATTCTTGACAGACTGTATGTGTGTTATAGGTGTTGAATGGATTGGATATGAATTTGAGTTGCCGAGTTGTATACGAACAGGTCGTATATAGATGTAAAAATTGGAGATAAGTACTAAGTACGGTACCAAATTGAAACAAAGTGACCAAGCGCCCAACGAAAAGTGACTATTTACTCTCTGGTACGGAAGCAGTATCCTTGAAATCCACTGCAATCTCTAAAACACCTGACCCAAAGAGGCTTTGCAGCCATTGTAATGATAGCTTTATGTCCCTCATGAGAGTGAAACGAACTGTCATAATTTATAACTCAGTAGCTACTTGACAGGCACAAAGGACACGATTTTTGACTGCCTGCTTCCAGACTCACCTTTCTCACCCTTCAGATGAAATTTCTTTCACCGATAACAAAAAATCACCCATTCAGCCATTTTTTTCAGTGAAGCGTAGAGCATTGCAATTGATCTTCCGCCTACACACTGTTGCACTGGGGAATAGGCTCGACTCTAAACTCTTTTGTATGACCGTGACAATGATTTCCTTTTCCAGGATGGGGAGGTCATAGCCTGGTCCAAACATTAAGGGGTTGTAATTTAGCAAAAAAAATCCAAATGTTCCTGAAACTGTCCGGATCGGTACTCTTCTGACAGGGGATAAGAATGAGAAAGGAGTGTTAAAAGCCGTTTGTTTTCATCCACATTTCCTCTCTTTTTCCAGGCATTACATTTATACGTTTTTAATTTCTTTCTTCTGCACATTCCAAAGGAGGCTTCAAATTGGATCACCCCGCTCTTTCCCCTCCTGAAATGGATTAGTCTCCAGGGGACATAGTACCCCAGTACGTCTGTAGTTATACAGTTTGGAATTGAGATCATTATGCGTTTGTATTTCATGCAACATAACAAGAAAGGAAAGGGGAAAATGACGAAAGAAATCATGTGACTTCATTTGACTGTCACTCCTGTTCTTTGAACTTCTTGAATTTTTTAATAAAATGACAAAGATTTCTTCCCTTTTTTGAGAGGTATTTTATCAATAAAGTAGGTTTGTCACTTGGTCTGAGTCCCTCTTTTGCTAATCTTTTTTCACGATTACAAGTATGAAGCAATATAAAAAAAATTCACTAATTGCCTTTTCCCAGTGATCTCTCTTTCCTGTTTTAATCATGTTTTTCAAATCTTCCTAAAGAAACCATATTCGACGGGTGGCTATTTTCTCAGTGCTTTCTAAACCTGCGACGTCAGGGTATGGGATTATTTTACCGGCGATCTCAATAAAATAGGCCCCTTTTATACCGCCTATTTTCCCTTCAAGTATTTTTCAAGTTCAGTTTGAAATAGACCATGTTTCTATCCATGGAGGTACCTTCATCTCCACCTAAACCCTCTGTCAGGATTTCTATCTGCAAGAAAACACATTTTTAATTTTCAGTATTATTTATTTTTCAGAAGTCTTTGTCAAAAGTTTTAATCAGCATTTCGGTGGAAATACAATCACACAAAATGTGTTAAAATATTTCACAATCGAAGAGCTGACAACTTGAAAACTTCCTCAAATCACCGTCAAATCCCTTACTGCACCACTACCCGAATCAAGTGTTAATTTACAAAAGCGAACACCACAGAAATCAAATCTACTCTCCAAACTTCTAATTGGCAATGATCTAACTGTGTTTTTCTTTGTAAGACCATAAATTATTTATTTTAATTAAAGAATGCTGAATATTGGCAATGATCTAACTGTGTTTTTCTTTGTAAGACCATAAATTATTTATTTTAATTAAAGAATGCTGAATATTGCATCCAGAGTAATTTACATGTAAAAATAATCCTCATTTGTTTCATTCAGAACTACTAAAACCATAAGTGATTGTATGTTTACACCCAGGATAGACTACTCCAAAATTTCATCCCTCAGGTACGAATCTTGTCACAATGTCCTCTGGCAAGGAATATTTTCCGTATGCAATGCAGGTGCCCTGCCAAGCTGGGATTACAATGCATTTGATTTTGGCATCAGGGGAAAACTACTCACTGTGCCTTAAGTGCCATGGCAACTTCTGTTACCTGAGGTGGCAGCTTTCCTGTATATTTGATGCTACAGACTTGCAAGCAAATGGAGAAGTTGGCTAGTGATGCCAAACACTCTACGTTGATGGCATACAACTGAATTATCAAGCTCCTCAGTCGTTTGTTGTAACCATACAACAAACGACTGAGAAGTGATCCGTTAATATGCACAGGGAAAAGTTTGAGACAAATTGTTTGCCCAGTTCAGAAAATTATTTTAAAAAAAATGTTTCTTATCCTTCTTCAAACCAGCCCAGCCATGAAATGAAATGAAATATTCAAATCGCTTGCAAAAAAAGTCTTTACCCGCTAAAATTGATGTTTTGAAATGAATCCCAATCAAACTTCTATGTATAACCACCATATCGATGAAAACAACAATTCCTGCCGATGCCGGTAGCGACAATTTTTGGGCCGATGTATCTTTGGAACTCTGTCTAGCATAAGAATGGATTGCTCGCCTCGATCAATTATACTCATAGCTTTTCTTTGTTTTCATTGCTACTCGACTAAAAAAATGACTGCTCACATGAAATATTCAGGATGTTGCCAGTCGCTGCCGCATTCCCATCCTTCTTTATCGATGAATATACCGCTTACTTCGAATACATATCGTGCCTTGAACACAAATCGAGGTATCGACTTTTACCGTACGTTGTGGTCTGGTTTATTAATGGCGAATCGACTGGAATTCCTGAGTGGTTGTATGGCTTGCACCGCCGATTCATTCTTGGAGCGCAAAAGATATAAGTACATCGCCTAACACATCAAGCGCAAATTCAAGTTGGCAAAGACAAGGCTAGATTTAATTCTACATCCCATGGATTGACCAAAACACTTGCTATATGATGCCACAGCTACATTATTTTACTACGCGGGTGGCCGGACGCCAGGCTCAGCAAAGACCTACTTGACCTGATTTACTGCACAGACTTTTATTGCTTGTTCTGTTGATATTAGGCAAACTTTTGTGAAGTACGTTTGAAGGTAATACTGACATAAACTGGGCGTGAGCCCACTATCCCTCTTTAGCTTCTTCAACCGTTGTGTTGAAAAAATCAAGGTCGGAGAATGTCATTTTCATCGGCAAATATCGTTATTCTACTCGCTGTTCTTGCCCTTCTTCCAACCATGGATTCGAAGTGCCTCTGCCCGCGTGGTTGGGTCACCCATGGCCATCACTGCTACCTCTACGTGCCTCAGCCGGAGAGCTTCAACACCGCGGAGAGCCTTTGCGTAGCCCGCGGCTTACCCGGCAGGCCATCCCACCTCGCCTCGGTGCTAGACGAGGCCGAGGCATCGTTCCTCGCAGATCTGATCAAGCGGTCTGGATCGACTCCTCACGCCTGGATTGGCCTTTTGGACATTGCTTTGGAGGGGTACTGGTCTTGGCTGGATGGATCGCCCCTCTCGAGCACGCAGTGGGGACCAGGACAACCTGACAATTCAGGCAACGAGGACTGCGTTTTTCTGCGCACTGATTCCACCTGGAACGACTACGTGTGCGAGAGTTCAGTCGTTTATATCTGCAAAATGTTGCAGCGATACCGTTCTCTGTAATCATTTCCATGGTTCACGCGTAGGATGACATTCTGTTAGGACTTACCCTCTACCTGGAGTTAAGCATCTTACATGGGGTTCTGAAACAAGTATTGACATAATGCCCCTTTACTATTTTTTATTAGTGCCTAGCCAGAGACAAATCTGCTTTGATTTGTAAGCATGGCTAATGACTGCATGGAAAATTTTTCCCTTATAGTTGTCTGTTCGACATTTTCTGTATAATCATTTTGTCTAAGTTGACTTTAAGCTATGCCTTCAGGGCGGTGTTGGAAAAGAAATTTGAAGAAACACTGAATTCCGGAAGAATAACTCTAGCCTACTTAACCTTAAGTGCATAGATGTAACTTGTGTAATAACAGCTTCAAAGTTAGTAGCAAAACAGAAAAGATGGGATAATAAAGTGGATGATGTGACGGGACATCATGTGCCTTTGTTTTCATTTGACATCAAAGGTTACACACAATGTAGGCCTTAAACAGAAATGCATGCGTGTGTGGTACTGCAAATGGACTGGATGTATCTAGTTGTAATTCTAGCAGACTACCAATTCCTGTTGAACTTTGTTTCCTTATAGCTAATAAATCAGGACACCTTCTTCCAAAAGGTGAATAAATCGATTAGCCAATTCATTCAACATCAAAAAGAGAACAGTTGCCAGAACGTGAAGCGGTGAAGTAGTAAATATCGTAATTATAAAATACTTTAAATTTATTGCAAGTTCGTGTTCAGTTTTTTTAGCACAATAATGCTAGTTCAGTTGCGCAATGATGACCAACCTAATGCTTGAGAACATAGGTAACTGATCAATGTTGTATTTTTTAAAGCAGGAGATCGGAGCCTTGATTGATAAACTGTACGGCAGCAGGTGGATTTCAAGATTGCAATGCTTGCAAGCATTGTAAGGCCATTTCTATCCACATCAACTTTTGCACTGCAATCATTTTTATGTCGTTAATAGACTATGTTTGCGTTTCATGTCATCATAACCGTTTTCAAAGGATTTATTAAAAATGTAAGAATTGTTTTTGTCTATGTAGACGTGCTGCTTTCCAGTGTCTTTCGTGGTCTAATTTCTCAAAGAATGTGTTTTAAGTAATTGTTGTGATAATGAATATCACTTCGCACACATCTTGGTGCTAACAATCATGCAATGTAATACTCCGTGTAGCTTCTGTTTTTCCTGTTTCGCAATCGGCTCTACGTGGTCAAAGAAGACTCGTCGCAGATCTCCATGAAGATTATAAAGCCATCTTTGTTCCTGTTCTAAAAAAAAAAAAACTCCTTTAAAGAGTGACCAAAGACAAACAATTTACGGTTTCATTTACCAAGCCATACTATAAAGCTTCACTTGCTTAATAACTCGCTTAAAATCTCCCAAGTTTGAAACTGATGCCTGGGCATGACGCAGATCTTTGCTGACTGCACAATACATTACGAAGGCAGTGTGTTCATATATGCTCATTGATATTGTCGGCAATGGCCTTCTCTACTTGTATGCAAAGACGTAATGTTAAGTCCATAGAATGGTAGTTCGTTACACCAGAGCGGCTGCCAGAGAAAGGACCGATTTGTGAGCCTTTCCAGTCTATTGGCAATACTACTTGTGAAAGAGAAGAGTTCTTTAATCTTAAGAGAGGTGGAACCAGTGGGGTTGCTGCACACTGAAGTGAAGCGGGTCATTTTTTTTTTAATTGGCATTGAAAGCACGCAAAGTATTTAAACGCCACGCGCGAGTTAATGTGTGTGACATCGATCTGGTGCCTTCGATTGAACGTGAGAATGTGTTGCAGACGCTATTTCAGGCGCCAGTCAAAACACGATTTCGCTCGTCGCCCAGTGCCCTCACAGGGAGCTCGAAACAGCAAATGCTTTTCTCAAATGGATTAAAATGCGTAGTGACGGATTCCGACTTTCATTCTTTCTATTTTATTTGTTGCTTTGGCCTATCAGCGGCGCATGCAGTGCAAGGTCTAGCCGCTTGTGGCATATTGAGGGCTTCGCTCGTCGCTCGTCCGTGTCAATAACATCAAAACCTGTACAACACTGCAAAAAGGGCATTCTTCTCTTTACAGAGGTGTCTTTCTCTTTCCCATATATAAAGTAGCTTTGCCATTGCAGCAATTTTTATCTAAGTATACATTTTTATGTGGACATCCATATTACATGTTCAAATGCCACGATATTGAGCTTCCCAGTGTCTCAAGATTTGAAATTTGCAGAATTCATTAAAGGGTCTGTGGAAAGTGATTTTAATTCTTATAATTAGAAATGACACGTTTTGAAACTTAAATTTAAAAGTTATTGGTGTGATTAATAAATGGAAGAAAAACCCTTATGTATTTAGCGACATCTCGAGACCCCCGGCGTGTCAGTCCCTATATCAGGTTGAGTTGGGAAAGTTCAGTCTAATTTAGGATGTTTTAGCAGTAACACCTGCAAAGATTGAACAAGTCTACCAAGCTTTCCAATCAAAGCGTAATTTCGATATGGATATCGAAAGTCAGTCTAACCAGGGCAAATGGTCAGGACCGACAGAGAGCTTCAACCTGTGCAATTTGCATATCGAGTCGCAGTGTTTTCTTCCGAACACATATAACACGTTTTGCTGAAGTCAGACACCGCGCCCACAACCTCTGGAAAATAAAAAAAAAGACAAAATGAATAAAGACAAAGTGCAGCTTGCGGTTGACTCTGCATATAAAAAGCTCCACCTGGTGACTACCTGAGGTACGGTAGCTAGTCCAGCAACGCTGTTGACACAGCATGTACGTGGGTACCTATACGGTTGTAAAAATTTAGTTTCTGCGTGACTCTACATCGGTACATTACGAAACACGCAGCAACGTGGCAACATCAGTGGCTTGCTTATTCCTTCAAAGACAACATTCATTAATCCTAAATTCAAATCAAACTGAAGTGTTCAGCAATCTGACATGCCCATTAATAAAAGGCCTAACGAGTATGCTCAAAACCTTTGTGAGATTGAATGAAAAACAGGGTCCTACAGAGTGGAAATGCTAGATCTGCAACCGGGGATTTGCCCTGAAAACCATTGCTAATACCAAATGGCTGAACATGAAGCTTATTTCCGAACAAAACTTTGTATGCCAAATTTGTCAGACTTCTAAAAGCAGTTGCATAGTCATTGAGTAAGTGTAACTGAGACTCAGGTATAGTCTTTGCAAGAGATGAAAACATTTGATTGCAACCATCACTCGCTAATCATGTATACGTACTGTTGAAGTTGTATGGAGAGATGTACTTCACCATCGAGAACTGCCTTACTTTTTTGGAATGAGGTATGGCGTTCTGAGAGTGGCACCACGGATGGCAAGTTCTTCCCTGGTAAAAAAAAAACCTCGGTCTGTAAAAAATACTGTAGCGCCGGTGGGTTCGGCCGGTGGGGGCGCCAGCTCAGACCCACATGGAGCTAGCTGGCTGCCCCCCCGCTGGTATGCCAACGTCCCGCGGTTTTCCCACGTCGCGCCTGCGCAGTCCCCGCCTAGACACCTCATGTCTAGAGCTTGGTGTGAAAAACAGTGTTGTGACGTCGAAAGAAATAAAACAGAGGTTTCTTGCCCGGAACGGCGATTTGTGGCTGATTCAGAGCCCAATTAGTAGGACAATAGAATCTCAATACTCAACAAAATTTAAAAGCCAGGGCAAATTATCCTCAGTAAGATTTTTCTTCTATTTCTTTTTGCAATAAAATTGGTGGCTCTTCCAGGACCTATTGCAGCAAGGTACTTACTTGACGGTATAATAGACCAGGTCTGTGCAAGACCTGTAATATCAAATCTGTAATATCTTTCACAGAATTTTTCTGTGCAATCGATAACGCAGCGATCGAAAGCATTATCATTTTTTTGTTGGGTTGTTTGTTGATGTGTTTGTTTGCTTGTTCCTTTTTTTTGGGGGGGGGGGCTTTTTCGCAATTTTGTATAACCAGATTAAAACATCACCCACGATATTTCTATACTCGAAAATTCCGTTCGCACATTGTGCATAGGCTTCGGTGTGCGTGGATATGAAAGACCTGCCAACAAAATGCAAACAGAAAACAGTGCACAGTGCATAGGCATGCACCCAGCTTGTACTGGATCTTCGTCACATACGTAACGCACTCAGATCGTTTTGTCCGGAACACCTTAGACCAAAAAGGCTTTAAATCCGATGGAGCCTACATAATGCTGTTTTTTAAACAAAATACAATCATTTAAAGCCCTAGATCTCCGAAGGTACGTATCGATTTCCGATGGGGTTATAACCTTGCAGATATCTACAAAGGGAATTGTTATAGACAACAATTGACCCGATGTGATGATAATATCATCAGGTGAATGTCTCGTGAAATTAGAGGTGCATCTCAAACCCGTGTCTCCTGAAGTACATGTCTAATTGGATTTACTTTGTAAATAGCTAGAAAGAGAAGTGTTGTGAACGAAAATTAGCCTGATGTGATGATTACGTCGTCGGGGGAGGAACGCATGACCCCCCCTTTTTTCTCTTCTTGTCTTTTCGTTTGAAGGAACAGTTCAAATTTTGAGGGACTGCAATTTTCTTGGCCCGCACGATAAGTTCTTTCAGCCATTATGTTTTAAACTACGGCACCAACAGTAACGTGCTGTGTTCAAACATGTGTGCAGAGGAGCTTTACAACAAACAGCTGATGGACATACGAAAGGTACACCTTTCCGAAATTGTGTGCGCACCACAGATTCTGGCACTGCCAGGTTTGGGGTTCCACTCGATTTTTCCACGTTTTGAAGTCATAAATGTCGCCGTGATGGATTTACCGGAATGTGGTAAAAACTAAGTGAAAGATGTTGGCTTTGTCTGCGTGTACACCCTAGCACACAACAGTCTGTTGGCATGGTAAACTGCTAAGAATTGTAAAATTGCAGCAACTGAATGGCACTTAACTCTGCCTACCAGCTGCGCACGCGCGGTTGTTACTTTCTTATGTACTTGCTACTAAAAGAAAATTATTGCCTCCTGCGATTACAAATGTTTTCAAATGGGAAATAGAATATTAAAAAGAAGATTGAATTGCCTACACATTGTAAATATTTTTTTATTAAACCAAAAATAATAAGAACAATACACTAAATATATAGATTATTATTTAAAAAGTACTGTCGGCCCAACAGTGTCCTGATATTTTTTGACAGCTGGATGGCTAATAATCATAATGTTCACCCCCCCCCGAAAAAGAGTCATTTACTGCCGTCTGTATTGTCATGTTTTAGTACCTGCAAAATGTCCTGTTTTGCTTTACACCTTGTAGCAAATTCATCCATACCTGTGTTCGTTATTCGTTAAAAAATACCACTACAAAAATACAGAGAACGACAACGTTATAGTAACAATACTGGATAATTCTAGCCAAACAACTTGGGACACGTCAGTTTTGCTCGTTATAACGCAAGAGAAATGCAGGTCTCGTATATATCGTTTAACATGTGAAGCCAGGTACCGATCGCCATTGGAAACTGTATCCCATTCTATGGAAATTAGGACCCTCTTGTAGTTGCAATGGCTGGTTTGAAAGGTGTGTGAGAAGTAACATATGTGCAATACTCAAAACTACTGACTTGTTGAACTTGCGTGATAACACTGTCGCTTGGTAATTACCACGGTCTTTATCAAGAAAACTGTTAACTGTCCAAATATTCAATTATATCGTGGTACTTTGAGAATGAGAATGGTTGTGAGGTAACATAATTCAAGAAAGCAACAAGCACAGAGAAATGCACACAAAACCTTGTAAACATTATCCGTGTAATCAGCCTAAGGCTACCAGAAGTATCTCTTTAAGAAACACTGCACTTTATGTGGGCCTGATTAATCATCGTCAACACACAACAGTTACGTCAACACACCGTCAACTCATCCCATATGCATTTGAAATCAATTGCACAGACATAAAACTGTGATATTTGGGCAAAGGTAATTGTCCAGTGGTTTGAAGTTGCATTTCAATTTTGAGAATGGATTTTCTCACACTAAATTTAGTGAACTAAAAAGAACCGTTTAAAAGAGTCAAACCTCTTACGGTTTTGCCAAAGTGTCGTTTTGATGAATAGTTCACGGTTAAATATCAAATCCTTAATTAGTTCTCTCTCTTTCTCTAATTTTTAACGTGTTAAAGAAGTGTTGACGGTGTGTTAAAGGTAATTAGTATTACCCTCTCTTTCTTTGGCAGTTTGCAACTAAAATCCAAAATTAAAGTAAATCAGAAAAGGCAATTCTTGCGTTGAACTTTAAATTAGAGCTATTTTAATGGTTCTTTGGGACAAAACGTGAACACTACAAAAAAGCACCAGGCGACAAGCCAAGCCTTCATTACAGTTTCCGCCCGTAACCGTTTTGATAACTTGCTGTCCATTTTAACTGTGTAATTGACATTTTAGTAAATGTTGAGTACCCATTTTGCAATTTGCTGTCAGATAACGAGGTGAGTGAGGCGGTGTTTACTGATAAGTGAGCTGTCTACGTGTGAGAGCTGACTTATCAGTGAGTAAACAGTTTGCAAAGTCAGGGGCAGAATGTTTTTTATCAAAGTTTGCAGGTATAACACTGAATTATATTTGACAATTTTAACGTTGGATTAGTTGAAATTATGTTTTTCGAAGTGTTGCTTGTTTCCTTCCAAGATCGTCATTTGTCCAGAATATGCAGTTGCCAAAGACTTTGCAAGAAAAGAATGACCTAGGTTTTGCTTAATGGAAAAGAATGGAAAACAACAAACCTTATCAAGATCGTGAACTTCTTTCTCGGTGAATGTAGACTTCCGGTTACACAAATTCAAAAGCTTTAGCGAGCTCTGAAATCCAACCTCTGATTTTTGAACTCACTTTTAAATATATTCTTAAAACTTGAACTTTTACATATGACAGTAATATAAACTCGTTGAAAATATTTAACAACCGCCTCCCAAAGTCCAAACCTGGACACGTCACTTGAGACGCCCATTGTCAAGGTTCTATCGGAAACACAATCTATCAACCACCTGCTTCATGCCGGCTATGGCACACAGCCTCTCAAAAACACATAAAAGTTTATCTAAACGTATACTGGCAAATAATCAGGCTCTTCAAAATAATCTTGAGACTTTTTCGTAGACGTCAAATAATGGCTTTTTTTTAATTTTTGCAGTGTCTCTAGATTCCTGTGTGATAAAAAGGCTCAAGGATCCAATAAATAGCAGGTAGGCCCAGAGGACACCAACGGACTAAATCGTTCGTAAGCTTCATCATGCAAGGCTCTAGCTTCGCTCTCCTGTTCTTTGGTAAGTTGCGCCTAATTTAATCATGGCGTGCGAGCACGACTCCGTGAGAGACTTTTAACACAATGGCGATGGTAATAGGTTATATTTTATCAAAGTTCCATGATCACCATACCTAAAGTGGCAGTCAATGGCAGGAAAAACTAACGTTTTCAAGACCATAAAGAAAAGCTGGTATACCTGTTAAAAAAATGGCACCGTGTTTGCCATCTTATGTCCCTTTGGAATAAATTAAACTTTCTGGGAGTGTTTGTGGTTCATTTTTTCAGGCAGTTTGTTTCCTGTCTGCAAATTTCACGTAATTTGTTGACATAGCTCGTGTGAAAGTGAGCTCGTAGCAGTAGTATTCGGCAACATTGTCGAGTTCTCTCACATAGCCACATATGCGACACGAAATTGTAGGCGTGCGACCTCGTCTCTGTCTATGCTATTAATTTGATGGCATAGTGATGAGACGGGCAATGATGGCCATCACAATCGTCTTATTTTATGGTTGATATTTTATATAGTTTCATTGAAATTGTTTTTAGTTCAAACTGTTCTATGCCATGGTTCGTCCGCACGCTTTTCGTATGCGTTAGCGCACAGCTGGCTTTCAGCTTTTGATATCTGCCGATGTGCATGATGCCTGCATAAAAATTGTGTGTATGCTGACAAGTAACAGTCCTCTGCCTGCTGACAGGCTACGGGTACCCTCTGCTTTCAGTGCTTTTGACAGTGTTTGACATTGCCACTGTTCAGAAAAGAACGTCTTGACACAATGCTACTACAATAATAAGTAAGCGCCCATAGTGAGTGTGCCGCTGTCATTTCACAGGTGGACTCTTATTTGATTCCTGTAACTTGTAATTGATTTTTGGCTTCACAGGCACACCGTTTCTCCCACCAGTCTCTGCTCTTCCCCCGCGGTCAACAAGGCTATTAAATAAAATCATTGTTTCACACCAGAAAATTTAGAGGTGTGAATGCAACAACGACGACGATCAAAACCCAAGTGCAATTAGGGAAATGGGGTTTAAAAGGGACCATTGGCCCCCGGCCAAAAGATCCACCTTTTTGTTTGAAAAATAATCAACAGCAAACGCTTTGGTTTATGGTGTTTCCCCTCCTTCAAAAAAGTGAGTTGGAAGCCCCAGATGTAGTTTCACATCTTAGGAAAGCCTTGAAAGGTTTAATGATCTTTCGCCTAAAAATAAGTCCTGCCCCGAAAATTTGGCTCCGAATTCATCCCTGTCGGTGCCCCATGGTTATGTAAGAAGTGAATAGCAGTACCTTATTAATGTCCTTCAACTTCCCCTTTCTTAGGAGTCGTCTCCATCTTTATCCTTGGTACGGCACAAGGAAGTACTTTGTCTGGTGGTAAGACCATTTTAGTTTTGTTTCTCTTGATATTATCAACGGAAAGGGATTGATTGACATTGCTCAACAGACAAAAACGTGTCTGTCTTCAATTTAGGCCTACTGGCAGTTCACGTCTGTATAATAACTTCTACACGGATTTATTTATAACTCTTTTTTTCAATATTAAATAAAATAACTCCAGTCTCGCTGACTGGAAGCAAGGCTATTTACGCTCTGTGCTATAAGCCTAGTGTTGCCTTATAAAACGTGCCTGCTTGACTTACCCGTTTGTGAAAATGTTATTGCTTCTAGGCTCGAAGGCACTCTCAAGTGCGCGCTCCGCACGTGTTTCAGTGGGAAATTATGAACTGAGTTTTTCCAGTTTGAATTTATTTTGCCTTCGTAGTGAGGACTTAAGTGAATTCATGTCATGCAAGCAGTTGCTTTATATCATGAAATCTTTCGTTTTGTTTGTTTTTGTTTTTCATTCTTTTTTATATAACAGCAAAGAAAAAATATTTTCATGGAGGAGTAGCCCCATTTCTACTTTAGTTTTGTGAAAATAAAATTTTAAAAAGTAAGTCTCATACCTAGGGAATTTTTCCGAGGTTTTAATTCATAAACGGCATAAAATAAAGAATTAAAGTTTTCCCAACATTTTCAGACTTGAGCTCTGAAGGAGAAAGGCGTAAAAATTTCACATTTTTTGACACATTTCCGTTAGATGCTTTTCCCCTGCCCGACTGGACGCGTTTGAATATTGACAAAAATTCTGAAGTGAAACATACATGTCTTTAGCTTAACAATAGGGGCAAAAGGTATATTTTGTAAAGCAAACCTCCAACACAGTCAACGGGAGTATAATGTACGTGCATTCATGTTGTTTAGCTTTCCCCTTATTACGGAGCCACTCAGGGGACAGGCACAATTACATGTTTTTTTCGTTCTCTCGAAATCATTTCGTTTCCTCAAGATATCATTCCGTTTCCTTGAAATCATTTCGTTCCCTCGAATTGTTGATTTCGTTCCCTCGAAGGATGCCTGTGTACTTTGCACGATGAAGTTGTCACTACGTACCTTAACTTGGAGTTACTTTAATCTGGAAGCGTTTTCCTGTCCGACAATTGTACAGCAGTGGCGCAAGGTACACAAACATAGTTCGAGTGAATGAAATCGGTTTTTCAAGAGAACGGAATAATAATTCGAGGGAACGAAATAAAAATTCGACGGAACGAAAAAACGCTGTGCCTGTCCCCTTAGGGGCACCGTACTTTATCGAGAGGACATGCACGCCGATATTCCAAACCGGAAATAGGAAACCCCACTTTCCACTCGTTGCAAGCTTGTTTCCGGATGACTGATCAAAGAAATCTTCACGTGGACATACCGTATTACCACAATACGATACATTTCATAACAGAATACGGTATTGGGGGATTGGTTCATTAACAAAAATAGATGTTGATACAAAAATATCGGTGTATGAAAATAGTGAATTAATGTGACATCTTTTGGACTCTTTGCATGAAACTGTGCCCGCAACAAGTTTTGCGCACGAGCGTTCGATCCTTTTTGACATTTTAAACAAAGTAGGAATAAATAATAAATGCAGTTCACACCGCACTTTTCAAACAATTCTTAATACTGATTGAGGTCTTATGGTTGTTACTTCACAAAACAGTCTGTGACCAAGGTTGGCTTCGCTTCGGTGACTACTGCTACCTTTACACTACGGACATTATGGTAGATTTTTATGAAGCTAGAGGTTATTGTAAGGGCGAAGGCGCTGACTTGGTTAGCATCCATAGTCAAGAGGAACAAACGTTTTTATATGGTAAGTATTTGCTTTTGACAGAGTTCTGTAAATTAATGGTAGCAAACAGCGGCGTGCCCAGCTTTTGGCCAAATTACGTTGTTGTTAACTTGAAGGATAAACTCTAAAATGAACAGCATATTTATTTTGGCCTAATTTTTTTGCCCGAAGAAGACGTATTTTTGCATTTTCTGTATTAGACTTGACCGTTATGTTGTTTATCACATCCCCACTTGTCCCAAGTTAAGCCCCAGTCTGTTGACATCTGTTATTCTTGTCGGTCCACTTAGCAATAGTCTTTTCATGAACATGCTCCCCATACAGTAAGCATTGCTCCAGGAGATAAAAAAATTGCTAAGTAGATGGGAAATTCCAACAAACCCCTGTAGTGCCATCAGTGATAGATTTTCAAAGAGTAAAGTATATACTTCAAGTTCGTTTGTATGAAGTGTATTTTTGGAAAGTCGTTCTATTTACGTAGATACGTTACCATCTTCGTTTTTACGAGAGACATTTTTCGAAAGTTTGTTTACTGGAGAAAAGTACTCTCAAATTCGTTCCTATGATATCTATATATTTAGAAACATTGCTTCTATTTTAGGAAACACCTTGAACGTTACGAAACTTTTTTTTTCAAATTTCGTTTTAAGAAAATTTTCCCAAGCTCAGATTTATGAATCATGTTTTGAAGTTTCTTTTCGTGAGATAAAAATTCAAACCTGACACTAAATGGTCTGAATTAATCTGGAAAAGACATATTAAAACTCCGTCCCAAGATATCTTGTGAAACGATTTGTTTCCAAAATAGACACATTACCTTTCAATATATAAGTAGACCTCATAAGAATAAGTTACAAAATATGTTTACAACAAGTGAACTTAATAAACTAAAATTCCTGTAAAAACAAATTTGATAAAAAAATATACTTCATCAAAGCTACCTTTAAAAAAATTCTACTTCACTTTTTGAAAATATATATTTCATAGCACTCAACAGATTTCAAATACATCCAATTATGCCCGCTAGGGCTGGTGGTTGAGTCTGTAATCCGGGTTTCGTTATTATTCGTCATTTTTTTTTCAATTTCCTGTGTCCGATTTGACGCATTTGCATCCATTTGTTATGGTAGCTGTGATACATGTAATTACTCGTTATTAAGTACCTATGACCTGATAGTATACATGTACATGATGGGCAGCTTGTACGGAGCATTGTAGTATGACTGTTGAACAGATGCTTCCGAGAAAGGGGTGTCATGAATACCGAGTACGCCTTTTAGTAAGAAACTTTTGCATCATCCTTTAATTTTTTTTTTTTGGGGGGGGCTATTTTTGTTTTGTTTAATAAGCGCCTATGAAGTAAGTGTAGAAGGTTTTCATTCATGAGAAATTCCTAACCTTGTTTTTGTCATAGATAATCACTATCCTGGTTATACGTACTGGGTGGGATACACCGATTTGGCCAGTGAAGGTAATTTCATCTGGACGGATGGTACACAGGTGATTTTTCTGATTTATTGCACTTAAGATTTAATCATTGTTGAGAAAATGGCAACACCGTGCATTGATTTAAATTGCATTTCCTAACGTGGCATTTATTGGTGAATTAGTAGCAAGCACGTGAAGTAAGTAATCTTCGTTTCATAGATTGATTTGCAATACAACGATACAACTTGACTGCACTGGCGTTTGTCATCAGTAACAATCTGCTCAGTCCTAATAGTGAACACACTTTTTTTCCAATTTCTGAGCAAACCTGTGACTTGATATTAGAACTTGTAATTGGATTTGCTGATTTTTGGGTTTTTTTTGTTACGCTTTTGAGGTGCAATTGTTAACACATATACGAGGCACCTGAAAGATCCAAATCATTATTCGTTGGTTTCAACTTCAAACACATAAAGTTATCAAATAGATTACACCTAATGCAGCCCTTGTTTTAGGGCTTGTGTTTGCCTAAGATTTGAAATGTGTAATATTGTTGAATCACGGATGAATTCGATATGAGATAATAATATACGTTTTCCCAGCCGATTGCCGCCAAAATGTTCGTCACGTTGTCACGTGGGGATTTTGTGTTCCCCTTTCCTGACATTCAAATTCACTTTTAGCTTTGCTGCTCGGTATCGTCAGCTTTATTTCACACTTCAAACTTGGTTGATCAAACGCAACGGCTTGCTTACAAAAGGTATTATCTCTCTATGACTTGAAATCAAGTCGTAAGTCGGTCGTGTGTGTTGTCCAGAACAACCGATATGAACAAGCATGGTGCATCGTTTTACAATTAATGCTGAGCCTGCTTACTGTTGCCTGCCGTTCAGCGTGCCCTGCTGATTTGGCCTGGATACGACGCGTGTTCGTGGGCTGTTCAGTATTACCGGGTTTCGGCGCTTGTCGGTCCAGGCCCCCCGTGTGCCCGCCTAACGACTTGATAAACCTGACTCTGGGTGGATATTTGTGCATGCAACAAGTGCACTGCATATTCATACGTTTCCATGGAGAGCCCCTGAATTAGCCTACGCCACTGAACAGTCTCATCCATTTTACATATAGGGATGTCTATGATTTGATTCTTTCATATTTTGCATTGATAACCCTTTTTAACGACACTTGAGACAAAGTATACATAACTATTCGAGAACAAATGTGTTAATTAAGTATCTTTTTTTTGTTAAGAAATTTATGCTTTTATGGTAAATCATCTTTTAAGAATAATGTTAATACCCTCTTCGATGAACGATACTGTGGTAGTTGCTAGTAAACGTTCAACTGACCTTTTGTACACCGATCAAACGGCCCTTTACATAAATATTAATATAATTAACCTGTCAGAATTGTCCGTCTAATATTCATAGCAAATCCTATATGCTGTGCACAAAAGGCTTGCATGTCTGCAGGTTGCTCAAGTCGGTAGGTGGGCACCGCTGAACACGCACACAATGGAGCAAGGAATGCACTGACCGTTCCCGAGTGTTAAACTTAGATAGTTAGATTAAACTGTAGACTGAACCGCACCGTGTACCGCGTACGCGTGGAAGGTGGACTATCCCCAGCTAATTACCAACTTCATCTCAAGTCTATCACCTTTCGTGATTTTTATTGTGAGTTATGTCCTCCCCAAGACCAAACAACCGTGACGCAGTGAGGCATCCAAGAATAGCATCGAAAAATCATGTTCAAGTGTTTTTGTCCCATATTCTCATTTTCTTGCAGTTTAGTTTGGCTCCGATCCAAAGTTGTTTAATTTTTTCAGGCCAGCATGACAGATATTTGTCCACCATTGGGTTAGTTTCTTTCACAAAGCTCTGTATCGAGATTAATGATCTGTTGTTAGTTCACTGGCACCAGGACAACTTCCTAATGGCTATTGCGAACCAGCCCTGGGATCACTGATTGCGATCCTGATTCGCGCGAAACAAACAGGCTAATGGATTGCTGTCACCACCAAAATAACGACCGTTGTCTGTACTTCAACGCCATCACGTGGCCTTTGCATGTTTCTTAAGCTAGGTACAATTAAATGCATAGCCCAACATTGTTCCTTACGCAGGACACGCTTTCTTAGATAACAAGTGTCTAAGTGTACCGTGACTGTTACAAATGAGATTTGCTTGGGCACAAGGCCCTTTCTTCGCCTCCTGCAATACATGGACAGTATTGTACCCAAAACATCCTTGACTGCGATGTATTATTTCAATCGCTCTTGGCGCGAGCAATAGTTCTGACCAAGGGTTTGAGAGGTGAAGTACAAATTGGCTAAGTGAGCCAAAAGTTCAACTTTGCAAAGGTCCTCCGATGACGTCGTCATTGTAATGCCTCAATATTCATCTTTCATACATTACTTTCTTTCTTTTTTTCAAACTAAGATTGATCCCAAACAGACAAACAGTTCACTTGCATGAGGTTTTCAGCACTTTGGTATTCCCAGAGTAAAAATGTCCAGCTCGGTTCAAACTTGGTACAGACATGAAGACACATTATATCGCCACTGTTGACGTCATCATTTGAATTTTTACAGGTTTATTTAGTCGTTGGAAGTGTGAAAATTCCTTCACAATACACTTTGAAAAGTGGGGTATGATTCAATAGCCAATCCCCACCCTCTAAAAGTGTGTGGGGGTATGTATACCCTTTCCATGTTTGTAAATCTAGATTCTAAATATATTAGACCACAAATAAGAGTAAAATGATTGCGGTGACACCATGTATCAGTCTCTTTCTTGAGTGTGTGTGGTTCTGAGAAGAACTGGGGAAAACTCGACGTTTCGAACAGTGTACTCTGTCCGTCTTCAGGAGACTCCTAGGCAGTCTCCTGAAGACGGACAAACGTCGAGTTATTCCCCAGTTCTACTCAGAACCACACATACTCAAGAAAGAGATTGATACATGGTGCAACCGTAACTATTTTAAAAACCTTTTATGACTTAAACCAATTAAGAGGTAGTGTGTTTTGAAGTAATTGTTTGGACGCTTTAACTTCGTCTTTTTCAACATGTAGTTATGGTGACTAGTCTTTAGTAAATGTTGAAATAAGTCTCATGCCGGGAATTAGGGGGTTGATCTGACAATACTCTGACACCCTCAAAAACAATAATATTAATTAAAAAATAAAGGAACATATGAAGGAAATAGCAATCATGGAAATACAAATAGAAATATCGGACATCCTGTGAGGGTATATCGTTTGCTCTTACCTCAATATCAATGCAGTGCATTACCTCGTTATAAGCTTTCCCCACACAATTTGACAAAAAGGCTCGACAAGCTAATGCGCCAGATATATTTCTAGATCTGCCAATTTGCTTACTCGGTTTCTTTGCCATTGCTTGATAGAATACTTACACTAACTGGGCTCCTGACGAGCCAGACAACGCTGGTGGTGAGGACTGCGCCTATATGGACCCGGGTTTCTACGGACCAGGGGGAAACTGGAATGATGTCCCATGCTCCAAGCCCTACCTTATCATCTGCAAAAAACGAATTACCCGTAAGTATGTAGCCATGCTATTAGGCTTTGAATCGGGGTTCTACCGTCCCCGTTTTACTAAGACACAATTTGTCTCGCCAGTGAGTAACAAACAGGTTGCAAAATTCACAATCGAAGTTGGTTTAATTAAAACAGTAGTTTTACCAATATTGAGTGTTTTCTAGGCTTAACCAATGCCACTTCACGAAAGATGGGATCTTAAATAAAGCAGAACATATATATAAAGAGACCGTTGCTCCAGACCCTTCATCCTATGTGGTAACTCCAACGACAGTGTTCACTGGTTAGCCAAGGGTCAGCAGGTAATTATCCCCAAACCGCGCTTAAGACCAGTCATACGTTGCACGAAAGCGAACACAGACGCAAATGTGTGACGTCAGATCAAATATTCGCACTCTGCGAATCCCCCAAAACTCAACTTCTTCAACTCGAGCGGAGGTTTGCTGAAGAATTTTTGGACGTGAAATTCGTTTACCTTTCACGTTTGCCTGTAGGATGAACTGGCTTTTCGGGAAGACGAAAATTAGTGTTTCCCTAAAAATATCTGAAAGAATGAAGGAAAACGGAAAACGTTGGGAAACTGCGTAAAGAGAATCAAGCTGCAGTAAAGTTAAGCAAATTATCTTTGAGCCAATGAAAGTGGAAACACACGTGGTTGGCCTAACTCTGTAATGAAGGCACCATTGTCTAACACTCATTTTGCTCTAAAATCTCCAATAATTGCGTTCTTTGGGTGTCTAAGAAAATCCTTGCGCAATTCGTGATTAGCAGACTATAATCGTGATCTTGCACGGTGAATAAGGCACTAATATCATTCCAAACACCTATGTGTGGGATTGGATTTAAAGAGTTACCGACTACATTTTTTTCTCGAAAGACTTCAAACGCACGGGACACCTTGTAAATATTTTTTTCAATTGATGAGTTAGTGTACAATGATCGATCTTTTTCTATTTTATTATTTATCGATGTGTTACTGTGGAGACTTTTCTTTCTGTTTCTTTTGGTTTCCAAAGCGTCAAGCTGTGATGACAAACCTTGTCAAAATGGGGGAGTTTGTGAAAGCGTCTCAAATGGTGGCTACCAGTGTAAATGTAAAGGTGGATACTCGGGCAAGAATTGCCAAATAGGTATGTTAAGCCCGAATGGGTGTGAGGTATTTTTAATAAAGTAATTTTCTATTTGCTATGCATGTACCATGAGTATGTTTAGAAGGGCAGGTTTAAAATGGTAGATAAATAAAATCGCGTCCTTTTTGAATGTTAAAATTCAGTCAAGAACACAACATAGCTTACAACATCAACCCTGCAACCCTTCAAATATTCACGTTGTTAAAACCTTGGTGTTTTATGGGAAAGTTGCAAAAGGCCATACTCAAACTGTTGGGGTTTTTCAAACATTAACTAGTCGGGAGAATAATGTATGTTATTATTATCATTTTTTAGTCTTTCATGGCCACTGCAGTAGTAAACTTTTCTCCCCAAGTTAAATCTTGAATCTGTCAAGAACTCAGTGCTTACAAATATGATATCTGCGAGTATACAGAGAAAAACAAGTTCCCTTCACTGCAACATTGAATCACTCATCATGAAATACTGCAATATGCCATTCTGCCCAAACTACAGATAAAGTTGTAAATACCGGACATTCATGGGCTTGTATCCGTTACAGCTGGTTGATATGAAGGTTTAACTTCTTTTTGATATTATTTCGCAGACTACTACTGTGAGTCTGATTGGTATCACTCGGGAGACTTCTGCTATCTTTTCCGGGACGAGTTCAAATATTTCAACGATCGGCAAACCTGGGACGGAGCTGAAACCAAGTGTCAGTCCTACGGGGGAAATCTTGTCAGCATCCACAGCAAGGAGGAAAACGACTTCATCTTTGGTAATTTACGAATAAACTGCTTGTGCCAAATATGTCATGGTTTTAACAAGGTAATCTTGACTTGGAATTTTTTGGATACCTGATACTCATGTTTGCTTTTGACGCCCCACAAAGTTTGTGCTACTTTCTTGTCTGATCACTGGGAATAACGTTAATAAAATTGACTATATCAATTTTATAATCTGATATAAAACAACAAGAAGAAGATGGCAATGCTACATTGCACTGGAAAATGCTGAAGAATAATATTTTTCTTCTGAAAGTGGCACAGTTGACAACTTGTTTAAAACAGAAGCTATTTCTTGCAAGCCCCATTACTGGGGATGTTGGTTTATCTAATAAACTGAAAAAGAGATGTTTTCCAATTTGCAATACTAAGTGTTGGGTATCTTAGTTTTCCCGAACTGTCATTATTTGATATGTCCTTTTCTACCTATCACCAGGCCTACATGGCCTTAAGATGCATTCAATCGAGTCTGCCTCAATGCTACAACTATGAACACAAATAATGATGTCTGTAATCACGAATAAAATTGGTTATTGAAAGAGAACAGCATTTTCTGCTACTGTTTCCTGCAATACTAGTTATATAACTTCCATTCGGTACACAGATCACATGGGCTACAGTAAAGGTCGCTTTTATATTGGTTTCACGGACAGAGTAACAGAAGGCACGTTCGAATGGAGCGACGGGACAAAGGTATGAAAATTCTGGAAAATCTCACCAGTGGTAAAACGCTCATTGCTGAAACAGAGGATGGTCTGAAATGCTATTTGCGTCTTAATTTACAAAACAATATTTTTTCACGTTCATACATACGTCACAAGCCCGTTGGGCTAAACCGGGCTTCGTTTTAGTAGGGACAAAAGAATTAGGTGCTGAACGCAGGGGAAGCCACCAAATCCATTAGTTGAGAGGAAGAGGGTTTTTTCAGACTTTAAGCTGTCGTCTGTGCAAAATTGCTGCTATCATTGACGGTAATACAGACCTATCAGTAAGCAATATGGTGTATCTGACATAATTTTTTTTAATAATGGGAATCCAGCCTAATTCATCGGCGATACTGCTTTTCCATCCAACGTCAAAAACAACAGTTAAGCGTTGACCAGACCATTCATGCTGGACCCTTTTTAGTATATCTGTATGTTGATTTGTTTTCCGGATGACCACGAAGTTGTGTTTTTGATACTCCTTTTTTCATAATATGTTTTCATATTATTTTCATATTGAACAATGTACAGCGTGCCACCAAGAGTTAGCGACAGACAGGCCACTTTTCAAGTTTACCGTAGCCACGCTACCGCAGTTAAGGATACCTCGTGTAATTCGTGGATACTTGCTTGATTGAGGCGTTCTTTGCGCCACACTACACCATTTCGAATTTTCAACCAAGAAAAACAAAAATATTCGAAAAAAGTTTTCGTATACAGCGCAGTGACACTTTGTGGACTATTTATCCTATGATACAAACTAAGAAAAGGTTTGTCCATTACAACCACTTTATGGCCTACTACATTGTAAATCGCCCATATTGTGACTTACATTTTGCCTGAACTCTACTAACTGCAAGTACACGGTGGAGTTGATTTTGTATAATTATCTTAATAAGACGGTTTCACGAAGCTCTATTCGGAAAGCAGACACTAACAATCAAGTGACTTACTTTTTTAAAACCTTTAATTTCAAAGGAAGGGGAAATCTGAAACATTTATACAGAATCCAAATAAAAATTACGTTGCTTAGATTTCAGCGTGCGTCACTGTCTTCTCTGAATATGAAGTGTAGCAAAATCGTCATCCTTGGGTATTCAGTTATCCACGTTTAGCTATTTTTGAAAAAAACACGTGTCATTTTGTCCTTGTAAATCATGTTTCCCATGAATAACGCTGGGTTTGCTAATAGGTGTAGATAGAATGCAGAGGAAAAGCCTACCATTAAAAGATAATGCAGTTAGCTTTGTGAACCCTTGCTTGGCCGACTTATGGGAATTGTGCATTAACAAAGGAATAAATGGGTACTTGGTAGGTCTCAAATGCGCGTTTAAGTCGAGGCCATTAAGTCTCCTGAGCCGGTCTTAAACACAAGCTTAAGATCGACGAAACATATTTATTCCTATTCACCAATACCTTTTAAGTCAGAGGGTCAAAATAAGTCCACATATGTATGGACATGCAACGATTTTGTTCCATAATTTTACTTTCGTTTCCCCGAGCACTCCAGTTCATTTTATGGTATATTCCTTGTACATGTTGTTCAAAAGAATCTCATTATTTATGGACTTGGTGTGCTTGATGAGCTACGTGCACGCAGACTCTTTACCAATCAAAATAAATTAAATCCAGGTGCCAGCGTGTGTTTTAGCCAGCGGGCATTATCACTTCTTAGTGGGCACTCATACACGGTCAAGTTGCACGTCGTTGAATATAGAAACTGTCTTAGAAAATTAATAATAGGCCTGTCATGATTTGTTAAATAATGCCTTCTTATTAAAACTACTCCAAAAACGCCCGTGGATACCATGTGAAAGTAATCCACAGAAGATGAGTAAAAAAGGAATTTCACGACGTTCCTTCTCCGCCAATATCGTTCACATGTCTCCTTGTTTGTTCGTGCACGTTTTGTTTTACATCAGTTTCTAATACGCAAACAAAAACATAGTGATATTAGTGTATAATATGTTATAGTCTTATAATATATTGCAAAATTACCTTCATGCATTCGATGGAAGATTTTGGTCACGCTGGTTTTGGTGCAGGTCTCATCAGAAAAGGTTATATATTTATTGCACGTAAGAATTTCTATAAACGCTGAATCAGCCGCGATTTTTTTCATGTTAACTGTAAACTGATTACGTTTGTTGAATCACCTCTACACCCCAATTTGGGGTGTAGGGACGCAAATATACAAGGGTTTCCTTTCATCAGGGATATGAATGCCAGGTCATACCCCCCATGAAAGGAAATTCTTGCAATTTTTTGCCGTAGTTTGTTGCAAGGTATTTGTCTTTCACCTCAGGCAAACTTCTTTCATTATTCAGAGTAGAGGGGGTTTTGTTGCGGAGGTTAATTAAATAACTTCAAAGTCCAATACTTTGCATGGTATTGTTCATATTCAAGAGTTCAGGAAGCTTTTAATCAGATGTCATATGTAGGACTCAATATACATTTGGGCTGCTACGTGACAAAAGTGCTATAATTATTTTTTTTTAAGACAGAGTTGTTGGGACTTTCATGTGTCCTCCTGGTAACTATCCAGCATCACATTGTGCGTCACAAACGAAATGTGCACCAGAGGAGGGGAATGACGCCGATTTCCCCACAATGAAAGTCCCGTTCTCATGTACCGTTGTATTCTATAAGGTCTATAAGAGCAACGACCCTCAAAATTATGCACACAGGATGCAACATCAAAAGCCACTGAAATATTCGTGTTTTGCAGGCAGACTTTGTAAACTGGCACCCCAGGTTGCCTGACAACAATGGAAACGAGGACTACGCCTTCATCAATCCTGAATTCTATGGCTCACTTTGGGCCGACGCTTATGGCGGTGCACATTACGGTTATGTGTGCAAGAAACCTGCATCATGTAAGCACATCCCTTCGTCGGCCAACTTAAAAGACTTAAAAGACAGGTTGGAGAGTTGGAAGAAATTTGTCGGTAGCAGCGCTCCTTGATTAATAAATTCATTAATAAATGTTTGATTTTGCCAAGCGCTCAGTAAGAAGCCATAAATAGATTCACCCAACACAGTGTAAATGCACCTTTTTTGCGCACAAGTATCAACTCCGTTTACACGATTACCGGATGGGTGCATATTATATTACCGGAGAATCTAATAGATCGTAAAAAAATCCGAAAATTTCATGTAGAATAACTTAACACAGAAAACATTGTTCAAAAACCAATTATTTTGATTTCTAAAATATGTTTATTTGCCCTGATTAAATAGAGGTTGCTTGAAATTATAACATTTTCTTCGAAATATCTCCCAAAGTGTGTCAACCAAAGACGTGTCAGAATGGGGCTACTTGCATTGATTTGGTCGTTGACTACCAGTGTAATTGTCTTGACGGCTTTGAGGGGAAAAACTGCGAGACCAGTAAGTTGCCAGTCTTAAAACTAACTGTTTAACTCAATTTCAATTCATATTCTATTTATTCAAAAAGGGGCCGAGTTAACTGCAACCACTGTTTTCAGGTTAATTTTCCGATGGCTGCCTGTTACGTGCTACCAGTGCTGGCACTCAAGCTGCTGCCTTATGCAAACCTCTGCATTTAGTGTTTAAAATCTCTCCCCCAAGATACAATTTAAAAAAAAAACATGTTTAGCAATCAAACTTATTCTGGAATTATCTGTTAACCTGTTTAATTTAAAACTATAAACACTATTCTTCCAGCCCTAGTCTCCCTATACATAGATGTACAAGTGCTAAAAAACAACCGTCAATAATCTAAACATGTTTTTCAAATTCAAAGAGACAGGTGTTCTGTTTTGCAAACGCGTCCGATTGTTTATTTATTTGTTACAAACATTGAACCGAGGCAAATCTTGACGCAGTGTTGTCCATTGAGTCGTCAATGGAGGGAAACAATTTATGAAAAGGTGCCCTGCCAACACCGCAACAATTTTCAAAAAAGAGGTACACAGAACCATGCTCACAAAGTACAACATCCCAATCCAAAATATTAATGTTTAGACCCAACGAGTAGCAAATTGATATAATATACGTTTAAAAACTTTCTGTTCGTCAGACATTGATGATTGTGCAGAGCAGCCATGCTTAAACGGAGGGGCTTGCGTCGATCTGGTCAATGGCTACCGATGTGACTGTTTGGATGGCTTCGAAGGAAAAGACTGTGAGATCAGTAAGTATGGCCGACCCCACAAGCTTTTCTGATCACATCAGGGAATACCTCTTTGTTGTTTTGTTGGACCATTACCAAATGGCTATTTTATAAAAACAAAAATCGTGTGCAAACCTTTTTCTGTTCGTTTCAGACTTTCATTGGGAGTAATAAGACAAATTACACCAGCGAAAATAAGGCAACAAGATTTACAAATTAACTTACATAAATATTGACAATGCTTGTACGGTCCATAAGCATTTTTCATTTTCATTCAATATTTTTTAGATACCGACGACTGTGCACTGATAACATGCAAGTCTGGTCGTGTCTGCGTGGACGGAATCAACTCGTATTGCTGTCTCCCTCAGTCTTAAATATATAGAGAGGGCAATGCATGCAAATGAGCTTACCCATTTACAACTATCATCAGATCACAGCTTACCAAAAATCAAGCGATTTCCAACCTTTTAATTCATAAAGATACGAACGAAAAAGAATAGAGAAGAGTGAAGTCTAATCAAAGCCCCCAAAACTGACAGTCTCTAGTTAATCAACAGATGTCACAGTTTCTTAGACGTGTTGTATCCCCAGCATGGAAACCCACACCAGAAGAAGATAACCTTTCTCTTTGATGGGTGTCAAGCATTCAACATTGAATTTCACTTTTCCGAACATAACTGCCGGTTATTGTCTTTCTCTCTGACTCTTTTAAAACCTGGCTTTGGGGTGTTGTTAAAATTTCAAATCTGAGTGCAGTTTTAAATTAACATGCAACGGAGATGCTCTTTAAGAAAAACCCGCAAAATTGGCGTTCAATTTCTGTACTGCTTTGACGATCAGAGGAAAACTGTATAACGAAGTCATCTGCTACCACCAATATACAACGCTTGAGTCAAGGAAACTGTGTTAATCTATCGACAGTGTTAATTTCCACCTTGAAATGGAAATGCAAGGCAGTGTTCTATTAGAAAGAAATGACATGAGGAAAATAAGTAAAACCCTTGACTAAAAACGATTATTAAATACAAATTTCAATTGAAATTAAAACTGATCAAACGTCATATTACACTTGCATTTACAATTCTGAATAAATATAACGTTTCATTTTGAGCAAATTGGAATTGATGTTTCTTGATCATATGAAAAACAGGTTGGTCATCAAATGGATTTCGTTGTTCCCAATTGGTATACTACTGGGGCATTTAAATTATTCAAACTACCAGATCTCCCAAATTAAGTATTGCTGTACTTCCACTAGTCTCGATCATGGAATTCGTTTAATTAGAGTTTTACCTGTTCACATTGCAAGCCCCTCACCGAATGTCTGGCCCCTGCGTATGCAAACCCTTAGCGGAGACATTGATTCTGAATGAAGTCATTAATGCTGCACTCTGTCGTGATCGATCGCTTAACCCACACACTAGCTAGCCAAAGTCTTTATCCAAGCTTAACTCACTTTACAACACAATACTGTATACTCAGCGTTTGCCCCCGAAGGCTAGTAAAAATAATACGAGAACAAAACATCAGCGTACAAATCCATCCAATCCATCTTTGGAAATAGTTGTTCGCGGTGCCCCCTGCTGCATCTGACTTGAACCTGCCTACCAACGACGGCAAGCTCAGTGGACGAGTGGTTAAGACGTCTGCACAGGTGGTTTTTTCACCAGACTTCAGGGGCATACACTGAGTATACAGTGTTAACGTACACGTCAGGCAGGGAAAAAATCCAAAATCAATCCTGAATCCGCTCCTGGCTGTAGCCTTATCCATACTTGGTGCAACTGTTATATGTTTATTTACTTGAAAGAGAACCCTGTTAACTTGTTTTACTTATGCGCTAGAAAAAAAGACAGAGTTTGTATTGTTCATGTGTTCGTTTCGTATGGGTTTAATTTTTTTTACAAAAGAACCTTAGACTTTTGCACAAGATCAAAGCAGGACGTCGCGTGACCCTGTGATATGGAGGATGCCCATTGGTTGATTCTTTTATATAAGTTCATATACCCAAGTTCTAAGAACCTTATAATGGGGCAGAACTTTCATACAATCCTGGAACTGCACCAGGACAAGATGGTTACGGTGAAGTAGTGTTCATCATCCCAAGTGGAAATTGTTCTCACCGTAGAGTATGTGATTAGCTACTTGAACGTCCACCAAGTTTCGTTTGAACCAAAAACGGCCGAAACTAGGGCTTGTGCTAGTACTTTGTCGCTAAGAACATTCTCACATCTCCATGTGACTTTTCCTAAATATTACTTGGGGAAGACAAAGGTGAAACTCCAACATAAGTGTTTTTGGGTGATTTCAGTTAGGAATTTTTCTTCCAAAAATTATCGAACGTCATAGGAAGGCCCGACGTAAAATTCCGACAGGTGGACCGCGCGAGGGTTCCGGAAGCTCGCTACATGCCATTTTACTTTCAGGCTCTCTTGTTGACCAAGAGCTTACGCATATTGCCTGTGTACCACAGTAAGTTAGTTATCGACTGTTGCGAGGACATTGATATATCATATGTTGATTTCGCATTTTGCCAACTTTTACGACCTTGTTGGGGATTTGGAGAGTCCAGAAGTTACGACCCGCGTTACTCTGAGCAACAAACGATTTCATACCAGAACTTTGGCGTACAAAGTTCATATTTAATCCGTGTGTACAGATATCTCTATTCTTAAAAGAGCTGATATATCTATTCCTAATAGAGATATATCTTTTCATAATAGAGATATCTATATCTCTATTAATAAAAGAGATATCTCTGTTATGTTTCCAGTCCCGCACACTGCGTCAACGGAAAGGTCATTGTAACGTAACGCACAAAGTTTCACTGAGCCCGAGGGTTCTGTGAAGTTTCCTAATGTAAACAACCACGGGAGTACAAGAACTGAGACACGGATTCCAACCACTCAAGATAATAAATCTTTAAAAACAAAACGTCGAGCGCGACCTGCTGACCTCGGAAGCGGTAACTTGTCTGTATTTGCCCAATAGAGATATTTCTATTCCGGGATTAAATGCTAACTTTGCATGCCATACAGAATTATGACAGTATCTGGGCCTTGTCAGAGGCTTGTCTGCACCACGTTCAGAGCAGGAAAATTCCCTTTTTTTCTAATATTAATATGTACTAGGAACTATTAGAGCTTCTCGTCAATTGCACGTTTAATTATCAATCCTTGAGCAGCTTAAAGCATAGCTGGGATACCGAATTGCCGTTGTATAGTAGAAATTGATTCACTATAGGGTACGCAACGGGACGTGGCGTTGGTATGGTTAGATACAAATCTTTCAAACAGTATGTGGAAAAAAATTTCAACTTTTTCAAATAGGAAGCACGAAGGTTTGATCTGAGGCCACAAATTTAAATGTTCGCATTGACGTCTAATATGAACCTGCCTTGACTTGTAGATATCCTCATGTAGACTTAAGGTTTCTCTAAAACTCCAAAGAGTGCAAATTTACTCCATTCGAGTTAAACGTCACCCCCTCTGGTTGAAACTAGGGACCACAAGATTTCGAGTGAATCTCATCAGACAAAGAACTCATGATTTGATTCACGATTCAACTGAAAGGAGTCCTATTTGAAACTATTAAAACATGATTTAAATGGTTTCCACCCTAAAACGTCTAGTCTGTAGGTTAACTCTGTTGGACATTAAAAGATGCGCCACAGTTGCTAACCGACCAGTCCGTTTTCTTGATATCGTGTCTCATTAGCTGCTCCAATCAATGGAACGGGGCATCCAGTCACACAAAACTCCTTTCAACCCCTTGTATTAATACGGTCATGTTAATTTGTACGGCAGAATCTGCCGAACCACTGATGCTGAAATTATTGACCAAAGGACTTAAAAAAAAACAACTGTCGATTTGTATGTCCTTTATCATTCCCCGACAATGTCCGCCACTTTGGTCAGTTTATTATCAGATTAAATCAAATGCAAAGGTGGTTAAATATTGACACTGGGTACAATATTCTGATCAAGTGACAAACTAATAGTTCCGTAATAATAGCAAATGAATGAAGTCCGCTTTTTTGTATCTGTATTTTACGTGTGGAGACGAAAAGAAGAAAGTTTAATGAAGAACGCTACATTTAAGCAAGATTATCTATTCATTGACAACATTATTTCCAAGAAACTCACTCCACGGGAAAAGGTGAAACTGACTTTGCCCGGTCATAATCACGAAATCAATCTATACTTTGCGTTGTCACCACGGGTGTAAATTGACATGATAGAGGTACAAAATGGGTTGAGTCACTGCATGGTCACCCCTCCCTTCCAATTTTAAACTTGGGGGGTTGTTTAACTTGGGCAGAGCGCACTCCGTCAACAACTGAAGGCCATTTTTTAATGTTTTATTTATTTATTTATTTTTACGGCTAAATGCGAAGACCTCACATCTAATCCTTCCTTTCTCGATGCTGAATAACCCAGTTTAGTCGCCTTGGAGGTAGGGACTTCCCCTTGGCTGGTATCAGTTTCACCAGAGCCAGCCAGAGCCAGCCTCTTGCTAATCCCATAGGAATACAGACTAATCTCTCTGCCACGTGGCCCTATGGGATCTTTTACATCAAGGCTGCCCTGGCCAGCCAGAGTCTGCCACATATCAATTGTCGGTCTCTCTGATGTGTCTCTTAGCTGTCTAGACAGCTGTCTGGGTTGTTTCATGTTGGGGGGTGTCACATTATTGTTGACTTGGTCCCCCCCTTTACCGGATAAAAAGGTACTGTGACCTTATTCTGACCTTTTTTTCTTTTTTTTTAATTGGTAAGCATTGGCAGACTCCCAGGGACACCCTCAAATCAATTTAAATGCCATTAAAGGGTCTTTGGGGCTGGGGGCATGATTTAAAGAGGCCTTCACAGACTGACGGACTTGGGTCCATGATAAAAAAAAAATCACGTCGGTGCATCGGAGGGTTCTGTCTAAGCAGCACATTTTCATTCTATCGGCGAAAAGGACAATGAACTGTACAAAAGGACAAAAGTATCATTTTCATACAGTTGTAGGCTATAAAAGCACGCAAGCATCAGCTGTATTTTGATAGCCCCCCCCCTCCCAATCCCGCTCTTCCGAGTTCCAAGCTGCTTGCAAGCATTGTATGGCCATTTCTACCCACATCAACTTTTGCACTGCAATTACCTTTCACGCAATTAATGGTCTATTTTTGCATGTCATGCATTCATACCATTTCCAATTGATTCATTAAGAATCCCAAAACTGTTTTTGTTTACACATAAAGTCGTGCTGCTTTCAGGTATCTTTTGTGTGATAATCTCTCAAGAGAATTTACCTTGAGATTGTTGTTTTAATTAATTGTCATTTAATTGTAATGCATACCATTTCGAACACATCTTGGTGCTAACAATTATAGCATTAGCTTAAGTTACTAAGTAACTACAGCTTTTCCTGTTTTGAAGTCGGTCCTACATGGTCAGAGCAGACTCGTCGTAGATCTCCATGAAGATTTTATGACCATCTTTGGTCCTTTTCCAAATAGTAAAACTCCTGTAAAGAGTGACAAAAGAAAAACAACTAACGGCTTGATTTACCAAACCATAATATCAAGCTTCACATAAAATCTCCCATGTTTGAAACTGATGCCTGGGCAAGATACAGACCTTCCCCGATTGCATGAAACACAAACCGTCACTGACTAGCGGAAGACCGTGGACATGGGCGTTCCCGGTCAATTTCGGAAAATGTGTGAACGAATTAGTAATAGCAGCATTCGTTTTTCGTGCAAAATAGAACGAACACTCAAATCCCCATTCCTGTTTAACAAAATATATATTTCAAGCTTAATCTCTGTGTTTGTCTGTTTTCAAGAAGAGACAAAAAGTCACGTCGTTAGCGGGCAAAAAAAAAAGATTATACACAATCCCTGCAGGAGTGGGTGGGTGAACACCTGCGCGCGTGTTGAAATTTAACGAAGTGTAACAATTTTTGAAGGACGTATTTTTTTCACCAAGTGACAAAAATGTGTATAAAGCAATATAAAAAGACCTTTGAGTTTATGTTTGTTTAAAAAATGAAAACAAAAACTTTTATTACTTTCATTAATGAATTTTTCTTTAATTTAAACAATATATATGTAACTAGGCATCGGTTAGCATTTTCCAAGTCTTACATTCTGTAACACATTCTTCAATCCTTAATATAACAAAAAGATAGAATTATGTATTGAAAAGCCTAGTATTTTCAAACGCATTTATCTCGGATTGTCCGTTGACAAAATGTTGAGGTTTTTGTCACTTCGTGAAAATACCAACGATTTGTTATAATTGGCAGCACATACGTCAAACTGAAGTCCCAATCACTTTTTTGTAACGGCCTAAATGAAATGTAATGCACATTAATTAATTTGAAGTTGAATGCTTGTTATTGCTAAATGAAACCAGGTCCTAAGCCGCATTCAAAATCTACACCAACATGAATTCTAATTTTACAAATTAAATTGCGCATCTTCCGAAATCGACGGGGAAAACCTTTATTACAGCCGGTAGCACCGACTACTACTGACTCAAGATACTTACCCAAACTATTGGCAAAAGCGGTCGTCTTTTGGGTATTGACTCTCACCAGTTAAACTTTGACAAAGAGGAACTCTAATTAGCCCACAGTATTGCCTAGCAGTGATTAACCTAGACCGGTGAATCGCATTGCAGTTTTGTCAGTTGAGCTCACCTCACCGCAGTCCGGCTCCATAGTTTGGGCGGACTTCAGTCTACAAACTTAACTCCTCCGTTACCGCCTCAATGGCTGACGTAAGTTGCTGCAGTATCCGTGATTAGCCTGACATAATGATCCAAGCTAAGTGGCCGAAAATACTTATCCTCGATGATTAGCTTAAAATTAGCCGCATTGTCTTTCTAATGGCATTTGCAATGCACGCTTTGGTTCACGACACCCAACGTTGCTGGTTTGTGTGTCACACCTCATTGATTAGCTGAAGACGTTAAACGTCATTGTCAAGCCACGTATACTTCCCTCACTGCCAGTGATCCTCGTTTCAAAGCCTTATAATTACGGAAGCATCCCTTAGACGCATCTCCGATTGGGCGAAACAAGGATCCTCAATAAACTGGCCGGAGACATCGATCCTTGCTAACTCAACTAAAGCCAAAAGGAAATGATTTTCGTCTCTTTCTTTCCAATCATTCTGTATAAGCCTTTAGAATGCCAGCTGGTAATTTTTGCTCTGATTAATGAAAACTTACTCTCCATTGTACAGAGGGTTTCCTTTGCCGTCACTAGCTGCGGTGTGTGAGTGGTGGAAGACGAAATTGGCGTCCTCACCTAAGGGTGTTACAGCCAGCGTAGTCACGTTCATGCTCTCGACACCGCTCAGTGTGAAATGGACAGCTGCAGAATGAACAACATGTCGTTTTCAAGGCGTCAAATTTGCACGAGCCAAATATATATATATCGGTTGGGCTCAAGCAATCGGATGAGTGGTAGTTCTCGGGCGCTAGAAATCAGTGTATGTTGCACAATGCCCATGGTGAGGGTAAGGAAATAAGGAACAGAGTGAATGCCATACTCATTTTTTTTTTACAACCGTTACCACTGAAAGGGGTCGTTGTTGCGTAACAAAACGTCGCTCGGTACGAAAATCACACAAGGAAAAAATAACATCGTAAATTACTTTGTGACCGATGGTACCCTCGTGTTTCGTGCTCATTTTCGAGAAATCGCTGGCAATTTCTTGTACATTTACAGGATTTATTTCAAAGCCTAGCTGTGGCCACGTGCTTCCAGGAAGTGCTGACGCAAAGAAATTTCTGGACAATTACCACTGAGCAGACAACAGAGCCGGTTTTGAGAGTGTTTGTTAGATTGGGAGCAAATAAAACGCAAGGATGAACAAACATCTGGCTGGAGGTATCAGAGGCATGTACTGGCAAAGGTGTAGCCTGAACAAGCGCTATATCATGGACCAAAATTAAACATCAGACTGCAGGGTAAAATTCGGGCTGTATGAGAGCATTAGTAACCCCCCCAGAGTATGGGATGCTTGGTGAATATGTATTTATGGGAACAAATACTGGATTTCACACGACGCCAGGTTTTTGAAGGGGGGTGTCAAGAGATCTCACCTTCTAGTCCTTTCATGACCTCACCACTGTAGCTCATCAACGTGATTTCTGGATGATACAAGTTGATGACTGCACCACAGTTGTCGTCCCTGACGTGTTTGGCGTAGAGTTGCATCAAGTAGTCAACCTCGACTCTCACTTCTGGACAGAAAAATACAGTCACGTAACAACAGCAAAATTAAGAAATAATAATAACAGCAAATAATGTGCTCAAACAGATTTGTTCCAGTAGTTTGCTTTTGCTCTTTTTTGTTGTTGTTGCAACAGTGACGTATAGTAACCCCTTTGCCCTCTGAATAAACAAACATTTTCCTAACCCCCAACAACAAATATACTAGAACTCAAATTAAAGTATCAAACGGACGTTACGTTTATTAGCAAGTTCGAAGACGTTTGTTTAAAACCAGTCAAAGTTTATTTAAAGTTCTGAATATTCGGCTGGCAACCGGTTTCAACCTTGACATGCATTTGTAAGCCAAATCATCAAAAAGCGCTGGTGTGAAATTAACCCTAGAATGTGAACAAGTACCTTCGGCAGTCCTGCCTCTTTCCTTGGCCTCAGCTCTTGCTTTCATCACTGCCTCCACTGGCTCCACGTTCCAATCATCCAAGGGGACCACGTTGTCGGCCTTATTGACTAAAGAATTAATCAGAAAATGAAAGCTGTGGGTTTTGATTCCTGGCCAAATACTTTCCCCTCTTGCAGCGGTCGGTCTGAGTACCATATTTAGCGGCGAAAGTAACATCACCAACTACCAAGTAACAGGCGCATTTGAAATCAGCCATACTCAATTTCCAGTTTGGGCAGATATTTAGCGTGTCGAGTTGACATCGGTTCATGTAGTCGTGAATTCAAATGCCATTAGTTTAGAAAAATGCTCACTTACCCTCACTGTCTTGGGCCAATGCGAAGACCGCCAGGCCGCCAATGAGCAAAGAACATAGGGAAGTTGTACGGAACATGGCGCTCAGGAATGCCTTCAGTAATAGGTACGGTCCGTCGACTATCGCTCGATCAATGTTGGCACAACAATTGAATGATAGTAGGCAGCTAAGCGATTCAACTGTCCGTTCTCTACAAGGACAAAATGCCAAAGCCTTTAGACTGATTGATTGGCCCCAACTTAGTGAACAGTAGGGATCAAGCAGGTTTTGATTTGTTCTTTTGCCTGACGACTTTTGTTACTTATTTTAAATATATCAGAGATATCAAGCATGTCGATGTACTTTGCACATCAACTGCTAAGGTTAAACTCCAAGCTTTTGTTTATGAAAGAGTAACCAAGCCTCGTCCCTTGAGGGACTCGGTGGTTGTGGTATTTTCGTTTGGCGCCTTATTGCGTCATAGCGATTGCGTAGTTGATAATAATCCTTCTCAGGTAAACAGTAATTGTATTCAAATTCGATTTGAAACACTTTACCCGATAACTTTAGTATGTAATATGATTATTGCTATTTGAGAGAATATGCCCGGTTATGTCAGCGGCATTCGAGAAACAAAATCACAGGACGAGGGTTCCCCATACGATTTACATTTAAAGAAACATCCCGTGTTGGAACGTGCTTACGTGGATCACCGGAGAACCCTGATTTATTCCCATTTTGCATTTTTTCATGCTAACTACACTGAATAACATGAAAATACAGCATGGGCATTTGAACACAGTGACCATATTACAAACAACATTCTGTGGTGTTCACTTTTTCAATTGATATTTCTTAGCTTTATAGGAGTAATATGAGATACGAGACTTTTTTATTATTGCAAAAGAAGACGCGTATCTAGTGCTCTTACATATTCAATTTCAAAATAAAATTATTTGTTGCCATGATAAAAACGGTACGAAATATTTCACCCCAAAGTACGTGTACTTAATACACTTATAGACAATGTCACAAACACGTAATGTGCATTGGGATATCAGTAGTTTATTCGTCCAGGGCATCAAAATGTATCTAAAAGATAAACAATGAACAAACCTCTGAGTCCACGATTCACCTTCAAGTGCTCTATATTTATACAGAAACAAACAAAGAGCAGTAACACACAAACCACTTCAAAGTTGTTTACACCTGTCATTATCAATGTTACGATTAGGCTGTGTCTTGCGTAATGGTGCGTAATCGGCAAGGCTGGCCAAGTTTCCAGACATGGTCCTCGCCGTCACAGCTGCATTGCCACCATTTTGTCAAATACGTAGCCACCTTGGAGCCTCCAGGAATGACTTGAATATTACGGCAAACAGTCGAATTAGTATTTTTCTGATGACCAATCTGATCATAAATTGTTACCCCGATTATAATGTTTGTTGCAATGATTACTTCACAGTCGTTGTTCTCTGTGAGAAAAACATATTGCCAATGCACAGACTTCTCGTTGGAAACAAAAGGCTTTTAGAATAAGAGCACTGCAGTGAAAGTTTTTATTTAGACAAAAAATACAACTGTAGTTGTAGTCACAAAATTTTGCAAGGCTATCACTTTGACTTTCCAAAGGGAGACGTCTGCATGGAGAGGGCATTTAGTTTCTCCAACTAATATTTCCAATGCACGGTTGGTATTTGTTTGGAGAATCGGAAGCATTCAAAAATTCAAATTCAGCAGATACATGATGGCAACTTGCAGGTACTGAGGAATGTCTATGTAGAATCTGCATATTTCTTTGTTACTAAAAAATGGAAGTACGGCCCCCCCCTTCTCACCCCTTTAAAATCCATAAAAAACACATGCATGTGAATTTTGCTAAGTATCCTCTTGTTTCTGATCGTTTTAAGAGTAGGTTCCATCTAAATAATATATTTAATGCCATGAAACTTAGACAAAGACGGCAGTTTGTTGAACCGAAGAAAAAGGTTGAGAGGGACTCTGAAAGTGCTAGTCAATACCTTATCAAACCGTTGAACACACGTGCCAGTATTTCATTTTAAGCAACACTTGGGGAAATGAGTATTTCATTTACATAAATTTGTAACTTGTTTGCATAATTTTTGTATCGATAAATTATTTTTCTAATAAATAATTATTTTGTCTTTTATTTTTTTAGGTTCTATGTGTGCGGTAATGTTTATCTGTAAATCAAATTACAATTCGGTCATCAAGAATTCGATGTTTTAACATATAAAAAAATAATAAAATATAACTTTATTAAGATCATCAGATTCTTTGTTTTGTCTAAATCGACAAAGAAAACCTCATTGTAAAATTGGTATGTGTTTCCAAGTCTTCTGAAATTTGTTTAGATTTTCCTGGCCTAATTTTTTTTTTTTGGGGGGGGGGTTCTTTGGTGTATGGAGTACAAAACATGAGCAATCACTCCCTTTCTCAGAGGTGTGTTTCAATGAATAAATTCTGGGTTCACAATTCAAACAAATTTCAAAGCTGTTGAATTAAACCATGTCATCTCTGGTTGAACGACATGGAAACGGCGCCCACAGTTGCACAAGAAAGCTTGAATTAAAAAAAAAAGAATGTTTAAACGGTGCACTTTCCGATTCATTATGACCTATTAAAGACATCGATATTTTTCAGTCATTGAAGACTAACATAAGATTTCAGAAAGAAATTATTCTTAAAAACAATCATTTCTTCACTTTAATATATCGAGTTAACAGATATTCAACTATTAACTTTAACTTTTTACATGTGTTTAGCCCGTGTGGCAGACTTCTTCTCCTGGGTGATTCTGAAGTTATAGGCCTCAAAATATAAACAAGTTATGTAATCAAAATAAATGCCACTGAACCCAGTGATTTTGCTGCTATAATGTAATTTATTGATCGAATGATTGAATGACGTTCAAATAACGGTTGCAAAAACATTTAATTTAAAAGGGGTTTTACCTGTCTCACCCTTTTTCAATGCGGTAACTTTTATGTCATTCAATATTTTCTGTTGCAATTTTGTAGGTTACCATAACCATTTTCAGTTCATTAACATAAAATAAGAAGAAAAGGGTGGAGTTGCATTCTTTTCAAGTATCTTTACTTTGCGTTTTTTCCTCTCTTTCTTACATAGTCATGGCCGATTCGTCATAGATTTCCATGAAGATCCTCAAACCATCCTTGGTCCTCTTCCAGATAAGAAAAGTCCTGTAAAGAGCCAGCAACAGTTTCTTTTACCAAAATATCATGAAATTTTGCTTATTTTTTTAGGGGACTTGCACCAATGTCCCAAGTTTGAAACTGATGGCTTGTATGATAACAACAATCGTCACGGTGTGACGTAAAACACTGGGTCTCAAGATGACCTGAGGCTGTAATTCTCAAATTATGATTCGTCAGAGGCATTAATTCCAACAGACTGACTGGTCTTCCATGTTGGCAAATGTGATCCACACTTTTTGTCCCAAGCAGTGGCCTCTTGTAGACATCAAGACTTTAAGCCTTGCTGATGACCATTATGCACCAATTCTCCCTGGTTATTGAATTAATTAAATTTCACTACTAGGCCAAAGAATACTTTCATCACTGTCTGGCTTGCTAAATAGAAATGTCGATGTCAAGATGAAATTATGAAAAGATTCCTTGATTGGCATCAGCAAGTGGCCAAAATGAGTGTCCTTACTGGGCAAAAAATATTTTGTCGATCTTTAAAATCATGGTTGGAAATGTTTAAGTGGTTTCTGCGCTTATAAAAAGTCAACTTACGGTCCACCGTAAACGAAGTTTCCTTCACGGTCGTAACATATGCCGAGGACGTGTTGGAAGACAAAACTAGCATCCTTCCCCAAGGGTTTAACAGCCAGCGTAGTCATATTTATGCTGCCAATACCCTCTAGGGAGGTCAGCGTGAACTGAATAGCTACGGAATGAAAAACATTGTTATCCTCAAGGAGTTAATTAACACAAATGTGCTCCAAATATTTCTAGTAGTTGTAACATATGGATTCACTGACGCTACTTATGAGTAAAACCGTAATTTAATATAAACTTTCGAGCAATGGAAAAGGAGAATGAGAAAGAAATCCAATGCAAGAAACTTTGGGGAACTGCAAAGAATCAAGAACCATTTCCTTGACACGCTAGAGCCTGGTGATATTGACATGTGATATTCGCTGTTTTATTCACCCCACACTATCAAAAAAAAAAGGTGAATGAAATTCAGACTCCGTCAAATGCGGACCCATGTGTCACACTCTGCAATGCAGTGACATACCACAGGGACATTGCGCGTCAGGATTGGGGAGAAGAAAGGGTTTGGTAGATCTCACCTTCTAGCCCTTTCATGAAATCCCCATCATAGCCTATCAACGTGATCTCCGGATGATACAAGTTGATGATAGCACCACAGTTGCCGTCCCTGACGTGTTTGGCGTAGAGGTGGAACAAGTAGTCAACCTCGGCTCTCACCTCTGGATGAAAAATGGAATCATACGAAATAACAACAGCAAATGATTACACATGTTGTTACATGACTATAAGCTAGAAATCAGCTGTAAAGCTCTTCAGAGGAAAATATTGTTTAGCAGGATCGAAACAAAGTGGCTACAAACAGGTTCCAATGTGCTTCAATAACAGGACAACTTTGACGGATAACTGATTTTTGCTACCAGTTGAGAGCAAATGGCAAAGTTACTCGAACAATCAAAACCCAATGAGGTGGGTGTGGGTAGCCTTTAGGTTCAGGCTATTGTTCTGCTTTTCCAGAAAAAAAAATCAGAAGCACTTCGATTTTAGGCGTACGCTGTTGGAATACTGAACTGGCCCGAAAGCACGAGAATATGAACGACACCTTCGGGAGTCCTGCCTCTCTCCTCAGCTTCAGCTTTTGCTTTGATCATCGCCTCCACTCGCTCAGTGGTCCACTCGTCTACGGGGACGAAATTCTCGGCCTTGTTGACTGGAGAATGAATCAGGAAATGAAAGCTGTGAATTGAAAGGGCGAACAAGGGATTCTGGACCCACGAGGGCCAACTGTGGCATCACGTCCATCCGTTTACCAGTCTGGAGCAGTAGCTGGGGCACCTAGAGGGTCGTATTGCCTAACCTAACCTTGCCCAAAGAGTGGTTTTCATTTTGTTTTAGTTCCTGAAGATCAAAGATAGCGTAAAAGGAATATAAACCTTAGCTCTCATCTAGTCCAACATCCTAGCCCCCTGTGGCAGAACCAGGGGGAGGGGGCATAAGACTATGAGCAACCTTTTGGGTCCATCACGGAGTAAACCCTGTCCCACAACAAATCCTGAG